TTCCTCACCACCGTGTACTTGATCAATCACAAGTTTGATCTGCTTAATGTGACCCGTCTTGAGCGAGCGTCCTAATTTAATGACATAAACGAGGAGCCTCTCTCTCTCTCCGACGACAAGCAAGGTGTCGGACGTTTCTGGTTCCTCTTGGAGCGGGTCCATTGAGAAAAAAACGGGTTAATAGATTTGTCATTGTTTGTGTGCTCTGGCTACATTGTGTATAGACGGGTTGTCGCCCTGTAGCTCATTCAGCTCAGACAAGGAACACTACTTTCCCATCCAATTCTTCTCCAGCAAACTACGGCTTGAACTGTTGCAACCTGAAATTGTCTCGGTTACATATCATTAAGAATCCATTAAGCTTTTAGGGTGAACATTCAATGACCAAGTTGAGTCAGTCGCGGTGCTTTGTGTCGCTCACAATTGTGGGCCCATTAATGAGATTCTTGCTTTGATCCGAATTCCTCTACTCGTTATTAGAGGTACAAAAACAACAACAGCGACACACACACAGGGTCATCATCACGTATCAAAATTGATCAACTTACTTGCTACATAAGAAGAACAACATCCGCGAAACATATTTATGTCTTGAATCTTGCGTCTTTAATCTCAATCAGGATTTTGAACTAATTTCTTTACCCTTCTCATGCTAAATAACTTCTGAAACTGTGGGATCACAACAAGCAGGGGTACCGGTGTACATACATTGTAATAATCCATAATCTTGTTATTGCAGTTCTGTTCAATTGCTGAATGGAGAATCACTTAATGATAATCCATTGATTGTGGTTGTACATATTTCTTGAATGACATTATAAAACGGGGAACCACTGCCTATTTTAATCAAGGGCAATGCTAATTAAATAAGTGGTGGATGGGGTAGATAGATTACGCATTCCATAATTCTAAGCCAACTCTTTGGCACAATTTGGCTTAAACAATCATCGTCAGTCAGTCAGTTAATAATCCTGCATAAGCCAGCACGGGGCCGGGCTTTTATAATCTTATCCTTACTCTCAATTAGTTCCAGATGGAACTGACTTTGTTCTTTGGGACTTAATTATTTGGCATTGGCTGCCACACACAGTTGGTCGGCTCATGGTTGACTTTTATTTAAGAAGGAAATGTGGATCATCACAATCTATTTTTGAACTTTATAAACAAAGTCAATAATATGCAGCCATCAATAATTTAACACCGCAGAAAATAACAGAGTTGTTTTTCTAGTTAGTGTAATATGCCTTATTAAAAATGTCATAATAATAATAATTAAACACCATGCAATAACGTGGTAATAAATAATGCCGAATTGTTAGTCCTCCGTACAATTTTATTACTCAAATGGGGTGATGAGCCGTGAAAAATGTATTTGCCTCAAGTGGCAAAAAGAGAGGAGGAAGTTAAGAAGTAATCTCCAGGCGACTTGATTTCCCATTAAGACCCAATGATGCAAAGGATCAAAATGTCGATTACGCGATACTCCTCTCTCAAACTCTGATGCTGATGCGTTCAGACAGTTCTCCAAGATAAGACACAGAATGAGCATTAAACATACACACGTAGCAAGAAAGAAAGAAAGACGAGCCACCAATATCTCTAGAAATGAGAAGCACCTGAGAATACAGGTAGATTTATCCCACTGCTTCTGCTGGCTCTCTTTGTGCGAGGGAGCTGATTAATAGAGTAAGGAATAAGAAAACGAGTGAATAGATTTGGCTTGGTTTGGAGCGAGCTAGTCAACCAAATTTATCACTTGTCATCCCTTTTATAATTTTTTATCATTTTTTCTCATGCCAAAGCAAAAGCAAATCAAGCCAACTTTCATCAATATAATTATGAGCTCTGACAGTTCCATCGGGATAGACCGTGGCAAACGTGAATTAATTTCATGATACACCTCTTCTCATGCCATTGACACTGATGCCTCCTCCACACGTTTCCTGCCTTCCTTTGCATTATTATTACCACTGAATTACATTATTCGCATCTTGTATATTCACACAGTGTGGTGACTCTTGATGTTGGTGTCATAAAATATTTGTAATAAAGTGCAGTCTGCAGCATCATCGTTGAGAAGCTTTGACACATTTAGGCTCGGTTTTTTATTAATATTCTTTAACTATTGACGAAAGGGATGAAATGTGACTTATCTCGATTATGAATATTGTTAGAATTATACTAAATTGCACAAAGTTACTCCCAAATTAATTTTAAAATCCAAACCTACATTGTCTCATTTTCCCCAAACAATAAACATCCCTCAACTTTACATCTTCATCATTTCGCCCAATTTGCAAGTAATTGTCATCCCCTCATTGCACCTCCCACTTAATATTTCTTATTATAGAATCCACACACCGTGACACAATCAACTGAAATGAGAAAAAAACGGCAACCAATTTCCGCAAAAGCTTGCTTGGAAAAAGTCGTTACCGTGGGTCTCACCTCACTTAAGTATGTACATCGAGGACAATTAGCAAAGTCAGACTTTTGGTCGTGCAGCTGGGCGAGATAGAGATAGCGAAGAGGTACATTTTTAGGAATTGTAATCCAACACTTGTACATAGCTGCTTGGCATTATTTTCATAGCCTGACTGAAAAGGTGTATGAATTTGGTGGGAAAGAGTAATAGTTTGCAGCCAACTTTGATGATAAACGAGGAGAACTTGACTTTTTAAGGAGATGGAAATGGAGAGGCGAAGAGAACTCCTTTGCAAATTGAATTGGTTCAAAGGAATTGTTATTGTTGTCCATTATTTGTTGATTGAAGGATGACAGACGGGGAGTCGTGAACATCTCTTCTTCTTCTCCTTGTAAATGTCTTTTCTACTTGAGTGCTCCGGAGTGCTCCTCTTCCTCCTAGATTATTTTTCCGCACGATTTGCTACCACGGTAGTGACGTGTGTAGTAGTGGCGCTTTCCTATTTTCATCGCTAAACGCCTAACGAACAACAAATCCTGCTCCATTCATTCCTTATCAAATTGAGTTTGGCAAATTGCGTCGTTGAGTCTTTTTTAAAAAAAGTTTCAATTCGACAATAGACAAGTTGATGGTCCAGCCAGGGTGATTATGTGGGATTGATGATTCCAATGGCTTGTGATCGACAAAGAATATCTACACTTAAAATAAAGATTTCAATTTCTGCTGTATTTCTTTTATCAAATTAATACTTTTCAAAATAAACGATTACACGAATACTTATTCCCATCCGTTTCAATAAAAGATGGGATTGACCTATTCAATTTTAGCCTTTTCATTAAATTAAATTTAAACGCGATTGCTATGAAATGCGTGAAAGCTTCCACGCCAAAAGTAATGTTAACAGTGATTCATTATTTATATGGTCCTTATATTTCTGTGTACATTGTTGCGATGAGCGACGGAATGGAGAGCATTTCGTGCAAAACCATCATGTTTTGAGAATTAACAAAGATCTTTGTATCAAACGATCTCTTTTATGCAGTCACTCTTTAGGATTTGCAAAGTTGGCAGAAAAATTGCTAGAAAATTATTGACTTAAAAGAGCTGCTTAGAATTAAACCCAGCCCAATGAGACGAATACAAAAAAAAATTCCCGTACCTGTCTAAATTAATTTAAAGTGCTTTAACGTGAAGGTGCGGTCGCCGTATTCTGCATCACTGAATTTGAATGACCAGGTCATTGTTATCATTTTGTAAATGGTCATCTGCCACAGCTCTTTTCTTCGCATTCTCGCCCTTCTTATCATCCTGGTGCGAATTCTTTCTCATTTCCTGTCAGCTTATCCCGACCCGAATTCCACGAGAAGAAGCACTTAAACTTGGTTGTTTTTTTTTACATTTGCTAGTTTCAGACGAGGTTTCCTTTCCGCTAATCCAAATATATTTAGGTAGCAATACGTAATATGGAGTACGTATTATGTGTGTGTGTATAAACGAGTAACTAAGGATCAGTTTAACACAAGTTGCGCAAAACCCTTAAAAATAATGACCTAAAATCAGCTCTTACACACAAAGTATCCAATGTGTGAGAGGAGGTAGTCGACTTGCGGAAATTTTCAAGCAGGAAAACAGAATAGATTTTTAGAGTAATTGTCCATGCGTTGTTCAAGAAGACTATATTAAATAAGGGAAGAAATGATGATGAAAAGTGGCTAATGAGCAGCATCAAGAGGAATTTCTTCAACTTGTGATAACTCGTATTTAGATAAGTATTTACTTGATTCGATTCAATCCCATTTCCCTTCGTTTGAAGGAACGCAACTTGCCGAGAGGGTCATTTTTTGAGGGTTTTGTTGTGTTGTTGGTGGCATTAAATTGATAGGAGAGAAATGATTTCTGCGATTTCGTGCGTGAAACTTGAGACCACTTGTTTTATGGATTATTAAGTTATTAACGTCGCATCTCGAAAGAGTTGAGTTTTTAAAAGATGAGAACACAACTCACCAAACGAAACTAAATCGTAAGAATGAGACCACACCACAAGAAGAAGAGTGCCCATAAGGCACTCTTTTTTTACTGCTGGCCGACACTGTACTCACCTCGGCTCTAGTGCGTATTTGGAAACAGAAAACAATTTCGTGTAATAAGGTATAATTTTGTCTTTGATTTTCTGAATTTATGTTACGACATGGCAAAGGTTGCCTGTTAAAGTTCTTTTTGAGGCAGTAAAGTAAATATCTAATATATGTGCTGCAAGATTTAATGGTTTTATAACAATGTGTCTACGACTACTTACCTGGAAGAGAGTCGAGCAAGAGCATGTTTTTATATTCTACCATTGCTGACGTGTTTATGATTTAAATCTGATTCCTTAACAAATTTGTGACTAAACGCAAATATAAACATTGCAATTTTCATTAGTTTCATGGTTTCTGTCCATATTTTTGAATTTTCGAATCAAACTTTAATAAAAACTTGGGTTAATTAGGTTTAGTTAGAATTGAGATTGCAACTAAATGACTTAGGGATGGTTTACTCAAAAACTGAAAACGCTGCCGGGACTATTATGTTCATATCATAATTCGTAATGTGTAATTAACGTGCGAGTTGCATATGTACGATGTCAAATTTGTTGGACGCCGACTTTGACAAAGTGATTAAGTAGACTTCTTGCCCCACACGGTATCCTTAAATTTTATTATATTCCTCAAAATATAATTGCATACTTTCTTCACTCTCAGTTAAGTTTTTCATAAAATTTTCAACTAAAAATTTACAACTTCATAAAGTTTCCAGTAATTTTTACAATTGTTTTAATCGTAGCAAAAATTATGTGCAATGCAAACTCTGTTAACCTTGAAGTTTTAGAATCGCTTCGAGATTATACTATGTATTTAGCCAGCCAATAAAAAAGTGCACCCTTTCGTGTCCCAACTCTTTTGCTACAATTAATTTTTAATACTATGCCTAACTCTTAATTTTTTGCATGGATCGTTTCGATCTGGGCGAATTATAAAATGTTGCTGCTGCTGATTTGTTCAGCAATTATGGAAACCAATGGCATGATTAAAACACCCTTTTTATCCATATACTTATTTTAATAGGAATTAACCCTGGTGAAGAATATTTATTTAACTGATGGGGTTTATTATCTACGTCTTTGCTCGACTAGTGACTAGGGTTGTGCGCCTATGACAAACAACAACAACCCCCTCCTGATGCCAAGCCAGCAGTTCTTCTGATCTCTTTACAATCATGTAGCAAAAGTGCATTTGGCATTGTTAGGACGAGTAATTTTTTGGCGACTGGAAGAAGAGGAAGAAAGGGTTGATTTTGACAGTGTGGATGTGGCGGTGGTGGTTGGTGGGAGGGTGGAGCAGATGGGAAGGCTACACCTCCTTTGTGAAGGTTGGGCAACCAATAAGTTGAGTTTACCTGTGCCATGGCTTGATTGGGTTTGGAGGCGCAGGTATGCTCTAACCATCGTTTAATCTGACCAAGGCTGGCTGGCTAAGCTATTGAATCCACTAGCTCACTCACTCAAGATGATGATCACCTTCCTCTCTTCTCTGGACGGTTTTTCACTCTGCTATCAGATTCCCACATCGTATCATCCCCAATAAAAGAGCTCCGGAGAAATTCAGCACCCACTGCCAATTACCTTCTCACTCACAGGAAGACAGCACCACTCCGGCGTCTCCCACTATCTCAACTTTCTCAGGAAAATTCGTCTTATCGTCGCCTCTTATCTCTTTCCGGATTGCTCCCAGTGGTCTTAAAATAAAATAAATCCGAGTGCTTAACTTTTTCTAAACGACTCATTAATTACCAGTGATTACTTGGTCATAAAAAATCATTACCTTCGTTACGAAATGTGCAGTCAACGTGGTGAAAAGTTAGTTATAAAAGTGGAAATGATGTCGCCAACTTTCCACTCTTCTTCTCGTTGATCCTCTTGTTGTGCAGCCGAGTGTTGAGATTTAAGTGAACGCTATAAATGATTATCGAAACCAATCGGAGCCCAAGTAGGCTAGAGTTAAACCAGAAGAAGGGACATTTTTGGGACTCGATGGAATTCCCAGGTCAACTTCCCCCCAGCGCAACCCTACCCACTTCGGCAGGTCGGTACCACAAACATATTTACACGCTTGAATTCAATGACGAGAAAAAGTGAGGTTAATGAATTACTCAGGGTACGATTCATAAGCAAGCATGTTGTAACAATTAACAATGTAACGATTATAAAATGGAGGTAAAAAAATGAGTCTATTAATAATAGCGGTTCATATGCATAGCGCATTATCATATGATGTACAATTCCGACTTTGACACAGTAAACCACATGTTGCCATTGATTGCACTTTTAAATTAAATCTGGAATTTGTAAAAAGTTGTTTTTCATATGATAATCTGCGCATTGTTGTGGTTGCACTCAAACTCAGCGATTTTGAAAGGATTAGAAGGGCTAATCATTCAATACTTAATTATTTGCATGCATTTTATTTACATGGAAAAATAGATCTCGTTCTCTGTGGCTGTGTTTGTGACACCAATTCAGTTTGTAGCTCGTAATAATAACATGTAAATAGTCTAGTCTTGAGGCGACTTGTTGCACCAATTATTAAACTATTATGCATGCTCTGACATTGGCATTGTTTCCAAGTATTTATTAAACATGATATTTATCTCAGGTGACAAGCATACTTGAACAATGATTATTTTCGTGTAGCAGTGCTGACACGGAAAAATGCATGAAAATAATTTAGAGCATATACTCTAATTTTCAGAGTGAGTAATGTCATCGTAGTGCCAATCTTCTTGTTCGACAAGGATAATATAGTTTAGAATATCTTGTGTTTTCCTGGATTGGATACGTGCACATTTCCGTAGCGAATTGTCATGAGTGATGCTCTGGTAGAACAGTCTCCTCGGTTTGATATAATTTTTAAGGAAATGATTATTATGCAAGAGTTTCCATTAAAAGGTAACACACTTTTCCCATTGCGAATATAAATTTAGATTGCAATTATCATTTTACATCAAACAAATGCACTTTCGTTACATGTTTGACTTATCATTATATTCTTGAACATGTGCCTCAATAAAAGCTGCTTTAAGCTGGTCAGCTGTCCTATTCAGCAAATAATAATTGTAACACCACACTGTATACAGATGTGTGTATATATATCGACGTATGTAGTGGTCACACATTCACTCGCCCATTAATACAATGAGCATTTTACACACACACTAGTTTCCACATATGTGTTGTGTTAAAAAGTTGAACAACTGGAGGAAGGGTGAGAGGTTGCATTATTATGTTATGTTAGTGTGGGTCGGATTTCTTATCTTGATTAGTAACGACATATGAACAGAATTTGCAAAATTCTCGTGACAACTCCTTAATGCCGTGCAAGTCGTCATATCCATACGTATTTACGTACGTACTCCCATGGTTATAATGCGTGCAAAATAATGCTTGTTCTCTTGTGGGTACTTTACATTTTCTCATAAGGAAGAAAACTCAATTAATGTACATGTGCACGTTCTGAATGCACATTTTAGCCTGGTCTGGAGTTAATTGAGTTTAGTCGCTCGAGTCAAGAACCATTCACACGGATGTTTGAGTTTAAGCTCGAATTACATTTCTCACATGAATGGCGACGACGACGTGTGTTTATTGAACTGGGACGTACGTAATTTTAGTTTTGGATTATATTTTTAGGTGGAATGACTGCTCACCAACTGAGAGAACTGTACGTGGCGAGTGCGGCTGGAGGTGGGGGTGCGGGAACGCCACAATTTCCTCAAAATGCGGGAGGACATCATCTCCAGTCCTCGCGACTCTTGGACTTGTCACCTGTTGCGCCCCTCCGCTATGGAATTCGACCCTACGACCCCCTCCAAATGCTTCAACAACAAGGTGCAGTCAACAAATTGCTGGGTAAGGTGCTTGTGCCCAACCCTGCATTTTATTTCATTTTTTTTATTCGCATTGGTCAAATTGATGAGACATAAATATTATGACAAGGATTGAGATCTTTCTCCGTTAAGGCGATGATGATACCGTAAAAAAATGCGTTGATTCCAGTCAAAATCTCACCTTAAAATCAAAACTGAGCGGTTGTGATGCCTCAATTTAATTCGAAAAGGATGATGACTACGCCTTCACTTTTTTTACGAGGAGGGTTCCATTACGCTAACAAATGATTTCAATTTATGATTTCTGCTCAATGAGCCTGACCATTTTTGTTCACATTTACTCTCGAAGAATCACTGGAAGCAATCGAAACACGACACGACTAATTCCCTGACCTTCTCTTCACCTTTTTTACAACAACTGAATACAGAGCAAACTTCGTAAACTGGTAATGGGTTACCAGTTACTTATTTAGTGAAGGAAATGATGGTGTGGTTGTTGATAAGATATTTACGTACCCTTTCCTCAGATAAGGGTAATAATAAAGTAGAAACTCATTCACTCACTCACTCTCAGCGAGAGAAAAGTTACGATCGTATATTACACCTGAAGCGCCAAGATAGTCAGTCGTCTGTGACATTGACATCTCCAGTTCGTTCGGTTGGCCTGAGAAAATAAGAGTCGAAAAGTTATTATTGCTCTCAAGTCTCTTCTGGTCGTCGGGAAGTACGCTCCAGTTACGGAGAAGACCAAGCAAGCAAGCGAGTGCACTCAAGGGTCCTCACTCGGTTAGTGTCCATTGTTTGTTTTCAATTGACGTGTAAAGAGCGACATAATGGTCATTAATACAGCTCTTTCGGCTCGACCACTCTCAGAGCTTAAAGTGCTGCAAGACTAACTTCATTAATTTTTTGTCTCCTCCACTTCTCCTCCAGACGTGCCCTTTGAGAATTGAGAGTGTCGGATGGTGGTTATTAAGTAGAGTCGAGGTGACTTTTTCATTCATCGACACTCCTCCAGCTCAGGCATAATTTACGTTACGACGAGAAAAATGAAAATGACCTGGTTGCAAAAATATAAAATGTATTATTGACCAGGAGACATGAGATAGGTTGGTTTTCGGGCTCGTTTAGATTAACTGCCTACTTAGCTTTTATTATATTAGCAATTTAGGGGACTTGTTTTATAGCTTTGCAAAATTTAGACAAGTTCAAAGATTATGTACACATACACACACGCACGTTGTGAGATTGTACTTTGGGCGACATTTTAGACCCCGTTTCTCTTTTTGCCCCCTCCTCCTGGAGCTTGTCTGGACAAACGGGGAGCAGTGCATTGGGTTCGTTTATGTATGTGCATGAGACAGGTTGAGACGACTCTGCGAGAGAGTAATAAGAATTCAGTGTGACCTCTTTACAAGAGAAAATGGACTGATTGAATCGAAATGACAATTAAACTCCTGCGTCCGTGCTCTCTCTCGAACTAATAAAGATAACAGGAAAATACGGAGTTCACCTTTGACTGGAGGATGGAAACCGCACTGGAAACATGAACTTGTCCATACCTGCCCACTTTGTCTTCATTGTGACACTCGATCCTTGATATGTCATCTGAACAATTGAACAATTTTGGTTTTCTTGAGACTTGAAAACTTGTTGGGATAAGAAAGAAGAAACGAAAAATAATGCATTACTTGCCCACAGAGCGGAATTGAATTACTTTTTTTCTCACTTTATGTCCTCCTATTTTTGATGCCTTGCATTATTATTATTTCGTTTTTGCTGTAGACAGGGCACTTTGGCAGCCAGAGTATTTCGAGCATTTGTATGTCGCTTCCTCAATTAATAGTCTTAATGAGATAAGCCGACTATGAAGAACTTTTAATGGTTTTCATTAACCTGGGAACATACTGGACTAGGACGACTGCCGAGGTTGATGATGTTTCCATCTTCCTAAGGAAAGCATTCAGGGTCTCATATTTCCCTGAGGGAGAGGCCAATGGGAAAAGTGAGACCTGTGATGCTGTCTTGTTACATAAAATTATTAACCATATTATCCTCTCGCCAATGTTGTGACGTATCGATCACTTTATGTAAATTCAATAAGTAAGAATCCAACAAATTTTATTCCTGCTGTGAAGATGGATTTGGGAAGTGGAGTACGATGGATTATTGGCTTGACAGAGTGATTAGATAAAAAATGATGGTGTGTTTCGGTTCTGGGATGACTGCATGAGCACAAACTTGTTAATCAGTGTCTACCCACCCTCACTGCGTTAATGGTAATCAATCAATTATTCGAATCTTGTGATATGTGAGGATAGCAGTTTTAAATTAAAATCGTCTCCTGCGATCTTACTCCAGCATCGTAGGAGCACCAGCATTAAGAGAAAAGTCGAGATGGTAGCAGGCACTCTTTCTCGACGACGACTTGGACGATGGTCAGGAAAAAGTTTGCTTGAGGCAGCTCATTTCTTGTCGAGGTCTATTAATTGCAGCCTCGGAGCTTCCCCTTTCACAAAAGAATGGGCTGATGATGCGCTCCTATTTAAAGATAATGAATTTTGACGGCCAATAATTCAGAATTATAAAAAATTATTAAATTGAAATTGAACAATGAATTCGACTGGATTGAAGCAAACAAGCGTGGAGTTTCAGAGTTAATAAAGACTGAGAGATGTAGATTTGAAAGTTATAATAAAGCCTTTTGAAACAAGACTTGAGATAAACGTGACTATTGTTCGTTCAAAGGTAAGCATTTTTTAAACACGGGTTCAATCGTAAGCAGCGTCGTTTTTAAAATTCCATCAATTTCACAGATTTTAATCTCCTCGCTGTGAAATGAGTAAATAAAATTTACAAAACATTACAAAAAGAGTTGAGGGTGAGATATGCTCCCAAAAATGGTCAAGGAAGGAAACAAGCGTAGTAATGACCAAAAATATATAACAAATAACAAAAGTCGTAAATGTGGACTTGTGAGCGGTTTTAAATTTTTAAGTTTGCCGTCTTTCTCCCCAAATTACAAAAGAACTAATGCAAAAGCCCAGCTGACCCAACGATTGCATTTCTTTGTGTTCACCCTTTCTTAATCTGTAGTCCGATTGTATGTATGAAAATGCTGTTGGTGAGTTAGTTGGTGCAGTCCCAGAGTAAATTGGACAAATTCACGTCGTTGTAAAATGGATGGGAACCGGTTTTATCACTCTTTCCTCTCTCCTCCACCAAAATCATTTCAGAGTAATTGTCGACTTTTAAGTAAAAAAGACATTGTTAGGTTGTAAATATTGTTCAAGATAAGCGAATTTTTGCACACACAGACAGAGAGATGATGAATTTATGTGTATATACACTATACAAATCCTACATATATTTGTTCACCGTCCATGCAAAATCTCTTCCACCACACGAACTTAGTATTTCTCCACGTTATTCCGCGTCCATGTACAAGAGTTGTCAAAAATTAGGGATAAGTGGTCATTTCGCGTACAAAGAATAACTTTTCAACAAAACTTGTAAAATAAACATAAAACATTTTGGAAGTTTAATGTCTTTAAAGCTCAAAGGTTACGCAGTAGTTTAATTGCGGGTTCTATATCCCAACAGACTTTGGTTTGAAGAGAGAGAGACAACCCCTGCAATTACCCACCCACTTGAACCCTGCTGCTGATTACAAACCAGCGTCTCTAAAATTTCGAATTTTGAAACAAAATGCTTCTAAATTGCTCCATCTTCTCTTTCATCTTATAATTATGAAGATGCACTACAACATTCAAAGCTAGTGTGTGTACATATGTATATCGCGTACATTGAAAGGTACTAAAATCCTGTTTCTCATCACATGACCAATTTACGCATCCAACTGAAAACTGTAAATATGGAATGACTTGATTCAATTATTGTTATGCGTTAGAAACGAATCAAATAAATAATGTGTCCCATTGTGAACTTGAATGGGGAAAACAATGAAATTATCGTTATCAACATTATCGTTAGTCGCTCTTTCCTTATTCATTCTGCGCACACGGGGACTTTTTTGTTAAGTTGGTACCAAGAAGTTGATGCCTACGTAGATTAGAAGATGCTAGAAAGATCACAGAACTGTCCGGTTTCGCTAGAAAGGAGTATAATTTGGCCCAGTTTGCCAGTCACAAATAAGTGTTATTGCGTGCGAAATGATTTCAATTATTTATTTCAATCCAATTCAGAATTAGAATGGATAAGAAGAAGACTAAATGCCACGTAAAACCAGTAGCGATTGAGCATCAGACAAAAAAGACAGCGCGGAGAGAAGAATGAACAATAACATAATATTCTTCAAGTCAAATGAGAGCACATTCATTTACACGGCGATTACGGGCGATTAGTTAGTTCTCACAGAGTCAAATCTATTTACTCATGCACGAGATGAGCAAATCCAGTTTTCCCTAAATTTTCTTGATTGGATTCATTTTAAATTGTTAGATCAAGACAAAATCAACTCTTTAATATTCCTTTCTGCTCCCCACCGTCAGTCTCCATTAATAAGAGAAGCAAACGAGAGAGGGATTAGAACCGACCAGAAAAATCTCAACGATTGATGTTCAGGAGTCATAGTCAATTAGGAGCCAAGTTTGATGAGCTCATCCATCCATCCACCTTTCATTAATACTCACTCGGAGCAGGAGGATCATTCATGAAAGATGTAATTTCCAAAATATATGCCTAAAATATGTGAAAAGTTGTGTGAATCATGCACTCTGGGAAATGCTGCCTGTCGCATTTGAAGTATTTATATCGACTCCACAGACATCAGATCACTAAATTTCATGTTATCGCGACAATACTAAAAAAAGCTAAAGCCTGACTCCATTATATTTACTACTCCCTTTTAAATCGTAGAAAGAGAGAGATACATAAATTAGTCGACAAGTTTTATCAATGCAAGTTACCTGATGATGATGAGAATGAGCAGGAGGAATAAATATCTAATTAGGTGTAAACAAAGTGCACACATCACTAATGTATGACCAGTTTGGTACATACGGTAAGGTAATGCAATAGATGCTGTTAACTGGCTGCATTTTTAAGTATGGTTTCATCGTCGCATTTTGGAACTGGAAATTTTCAAGTGTGTTTGTTCCTGTCTTTCATAAGTAACTTTTTGGTCGTCGTGTCGTGTTTTTCCTGCGAAATGAAGATATCTCGGCAAGTCGACTCGTTTGTTATTCTTATGAGACCATCTCTCCTCCTCTCCGAATCAAGTCGCACGATTTATTGCTTGATTCAAACATAGCCAAGATAATGCTTAATTGATAAGCTAAAAGTTTTCCTCATAAAATTCCAACCTGTGCATATTTATTTATTTCAACCAGGCCAACTTTCGTGGTTGATACATATGGATGGATGTGCATGCATGTCGTAAGGTTGACTTTTTGGAGAAGAGGAGAAGAAGAAGACGTGTCAATTTACACCTGTTTTTCTCATCTCTTATTGTTACAAGTAGTAGTAGCAGAAGTAGCAGCAGCAGTGGTGGGTTGGTCGGCATAAGCAGTTCTCCATCGTTCTGAGACGGAATAATTTTAGCGATTAAAAAGAAGATTGTCGAGTGGCAGTTGCAAATTGATTTCACATTATTACGGATGTTTCTCTAGTGGTGCCACTGCTACTTACTCGTTCAACCCAACATGCTCATTTATTTTCTGGGTATCTTCACTAAAATCAACAGAATTGAAATGGTCATGACTAATCATGCATTTCTTGCTCACCGTGGTGGTGAAAATTACTTGACAACACAAAGATGGATTGTATTGCAAGTGCAAACTTGAAGGTTGATGCTGCTTGAGAGATTTATTCTCATCTTTGATTACCATCTGTCGTCGTCCCCTCATCTGTACGGAGTCGATTGATTTTTTCATATGATATTCAATGGACAAAGGATGCGCGTTATATAAGTACCTTCGTATTCACATGATCTGAACTCATTATGTTCAAACCGTTTGCACGATTTGATCAAGAAATTAAGGAATTAAAAATTGTACTAATTCCACCGCATGCTTAATTTTAATTTCTTTTTCTTGCCATGAATCCATGTTGTCGTTGAGGTGAGGTGACGTGATGAATGGTTTTAAGTACAACCTGGTGGTGTCAAGTTGCCTCAATAATAAAAGTCGGTAAATATTAAATATGCACGATGGATTTGCAGAAGGGACGTGGAAAGTATTTGGGTCATTTATTTAGGCACACAGAGAGTTTTTTTAAGCCAGCCATACACAAAAAGATGAATGTATTGATCTTTTATAAGTGTGTGTGTGCTTCTTGATACATTTATTGTCATGTGACCATCCCACAATTATTTATGAACGATGGTCTTAAAACGCAAACTAATGTTGTTGTCGATGAAAGAAAAACGCCAATGTGCTGTCCTACCATTAATAGCAATAGAATTATGTAGATGTGCAGGCGGTTGGGGGCAATGAAGGATAAAATTTTGGCTGACGTCGTCTGGTTAGTAAATATGTTGAACAACCGACGACGACGACGACGGTGTGTGTGGTAGAAAAAGTTTACTAATTAATTTGAGTCAGTCTAGTTGAGCAAAGGAAGGAGGTGACAGGCCTTATGACAGGTATTCACACATGAATAAACACTTTTGCGGTGGTCGCTTGTTGAAAGATCGGACATATAAATAATCATTTGTCACGGCGGCCGTCTATTCAGTTGGAGCATTTTATTCAATTAATAAAAGCAATTTGATTATCCATCCCCCTCTTCTGCCCGTTTCTTGATATTACAATTTTTCACCGTCTTCTTCTAAGGTGCTGATTAATATCAGTACAAAGTCCCGTTCAAGTTTATTGGTCGTCGTCATTTGCGGTATCATGGTATCATCATCGCGTGGAATTCATGAGATTATTGTGGTGTATGCATGAAAGAAAATACAAATTATGTTCTTGGCAGTTCAATTTTTTGACCGCATTATTTCTTTTTCTCTTTTAAGGATCCCTCAGACCACCTGGAATCATTGGAGGGAGCAAACCAAAAGTGGCGACGCCAACAGTTGTTGCAAAAATTGAGCAATACAAACGAGAAAATCCGACCATATTTGCCTGGGAAATTAGAGAGCGGTTAATATCTGAAGGTAAGAATTTAACAGGGTACACATGCACTTGTGCATGTAAGCATTGATGTGGATGATGCGCGCCTTGTTCACATATTTATTATTTATGCAATTAATCTATTAGGAATAGAGAAAGATTTATTAGCACGCAGTCATAAAAGTCTACTTTCCAACAACTTCGTTTACACGATTGGGTTTTGTCTCGAATCAAAGAGCAAGCAAAAGTTACGAAGCCACATAAATGTGACGCAGATATGCAGAAATGTCTCATTTTCACTCTGTCCGTATCACCTTGTCCACAATGTTACACACCTAGATTAAGATTTACGCTTCAAGAAGTGACGAATTTCTTTATTCAGAAATTGACTGGATTCCATACACCCAAAAGAAAACATGTTCAATTTAACCAACGATGGCTAAACAGCCAACGCTCTCCTATCTGCTGTCCCCACTTCTGAGAGTTTTAAGGGGAAAATAAGTGGGTTATTTAGCCAAGTGGTGGAGATGATGTTCAGCAAAAGCAGGTTCGGTGTGATGTGTACGTGTAGAATCAGATAAGTGAAGAGACGCGACTTTAATCTGTAAGCATTGGATGTGGCCAATAAATCAGACCAGCAGAGAGACAACTTCACTCGAGCTGGGTGTGGTGGTAGAGGAGCGGCGTCTTCTTCATCGTCGTCGTCTTCTTCACACTACCAACTTTTATTCCATTTTATAGTTCAATGGGTGACCAACAACTGGAAGGAACTAACCAACCGAGGCATACAGTCAACTCTTCTTCGACAACGACGACGACATCTCACTCTCACTAATAATATAATTTAAGCCGTCTTTTAGCTCGTCGTCATCAATCCTTGGTGCACCCTACCAGTTCGCATACGGTGTATCTTTATGCTATTGCATCCCCATTATCGCAGAGTAGATTGAACTTTCGCTGCTGAGAATTTACCTATTTTCGCGTCCAGTCAAACTGTCGCTGTTTTACGAAAAGTGTGATGCATTAATTACCCAGGTCTTTGTTTCCATCAGCGCTTTTCTTCTCTGTGCCTTTGGACTTGATGAAATTAAGCAAATAATGGGCAAATAACAACAGCAGAAGGAATTAGTAGTTGATTCATTATTCTCCGCACAAAGAACAAGGACACCTTTCCTTTCTAATAACAACCCTGTGGCAGTGTGATGTCCGACTTTTGCATATCGTCGGAAAAACAAAAGCAGAGGCTTTGATTTAAGCGTAATAAAATAATGTGCACATAAACGAAGGCATGAGAAAGGAGTTAGAGTTGCATGATTCTTAATTATGCCTTGAATAGAAGTGGTGTTGCGGTTATATTAATAAAATAATGCGCACAACCGAGTTGGTCTGCCGGCTTTGTTATTTCTTGACTGCTTCTTCTTCCTCGTCCCTTGTTTGACCAACTCATTGTTGCCCCACCAGCACCATCGCCGTCATTTCTCCATTATGTTATTCCTCCTCGTCCAAGCTTAATTTAGTTTGAGTCAACGATGTTTATGCTCAATGTTTACGTTACCGCCCAATATTTAAGCTTTCGGCGCAAGAAGAGACTCAAATTGTGCTCACATCTACGTACATGTGTAGAATTGTGGTATGCACGGCGTCGTAATAACAGATGCATACAACGCATGTAAGGGCAATGAATGCGTGGTAATCTTTGGTTGTTGAACTCACCGAGTTTATGAGCATTTGTGGTATTTTCCCCGGCTCACAGGCAGACCAGGTAACAATGAATGGTACACAATTGACGAGGCAAATCAAATCATGTCGAGATTGATTTGTGCTCTTCTATAGCTTCCATTCTCGTATCCTCTGGGCAATGACAACTTATTTTTAAATTTGATTCCTTCGTGTATTGCGATCAATCAGCGCAGCCATCCGTCCGTGGGTAGTAGTAGCAGGCATATATTTATGTATGCATATTTATGTATGTACAGTAGTGGTGGTGAGCAAATTCGATCATGTTACTGTTGCGTCGATCGAGAATGTGTAATTTGTGATGTGGAAGTGAAGCTACATATTTGCGAAGTGAAATATGACATGCACTCGATCTTTAGCATAAGCGAATTTGAGTATATGGCACCATTCCTATCTTTGTAATGAGGGGCTCTGAAAATAGATTATTAAATGTTGAAAATAACAATTGGCAAAGTGGTGCTAAACTTAGAAAGGGTTGAAGCCATAAAAGCTCGAAGGGCTTGCGTCGACCAGAGGAGTGAGTTGGCCAAATTTGCTGGAGGCAAAGGTTTCGAGGAGCGAGGACAGGTGTCTAAAGCCATTAATCAAAATTAATGAGATCCTTTCGTAACACAAAGAAATCTCATTTTGTTCTAACAAAGTTAATCCGATCCATTGAATTAGATTGTAACGCCACCACCACCTCCAATTCCTCCTCTTGTTCAAGAATCAATGGGCTTTTGTTGTTATTTTCGATGAAAAACTAACATCTCGCATTCTCAACGTTTTCCCCATTTTCATTCAAGAACTAGTCAGAATTGTGATGAGTGATGGCCAAAACAAAAATAAAAAGTGAGGTCGAAACAATTTTTTCAAGTACAATTTTCAAACGCACAATGCCAAATAATATCGTTAAATTGATTATTACATTCTCTAATTTTTTTAATTTAGAAAATATTTTTTTTTGTAGAAAATAATCCAACTTCAAAATTTGCATGCATTTTTTATTAGTTACACTATCCAATCGATCTCTTCTTATCTTCCTGAATGAAACTAGATGAACTCGAATGATTGACGATATCTACAAGGAATCTCAAGCATACTCAAGATCTCAAGTTTTTCTGGGTAGAGTTGTGAATGGATTTACTTTCTCTGGATGAATCAGGTTTCCATTTAAACGAAAAATATCCCACATGATAAAATGTATATTTGATACAATATCAGTGGTGACCAAGAGTTGTAACATAGTGGAACCGGTTTTATTGGTATCATGTTGCACTCCAGCAGCAAGGACTTGTGGTCATTTGTCAATTTGCGACTTTCATTCAAACTTTTCAGCATTGAGTAAATAAGATGCACATACGTGTAAAAGAAAGGAAGGTGTGTTTCTGTGATGGCGATGATTTTGAGAGATTGTATACAAATATTTCGCATAAGATGATCTACCTGATCGACCTTTGTGGATGCATTCTTCTTCGTAAATATGGCAATCTTCTCATCCTCCAAAAATAATTGGTTTCTTGCTCATTCGTCAATTAAGCAACGTGAATGCCTGCTTATGCAATATTATTACATAAGCAAATATTGAGAATGTCCTGCACGTATGTATAATTTGAGTAATGAGCGAGACCTCATGATGGGATTATTGTCACTTTTTGTATTTTTTGCATGTTATAGTTTTACCATGTGAAAACGAGTTTTCATTAAAGCCTCGCTCAAATTTGTATAGAAAACATGAAAGAAAAACAATACAAAATGTTGTTGTTGGTCATTGACAGGGGCACCAATTTCACGAGTTTGTCTTCAATTGGGTAGTAATAACCAGTTAATTGTGTGTGTGCAGTTAATTTGTCAGGTGTTGTGGTTAAGTGAGAGGAAGGATGCAATCATAATTTGAAAAAAGAAGCTAAAAATACGCATGCAAAACTTTTGATAATGCTTTTTCTGCTTGCTAAAAGTCCTCCCATTCATTCTCGCGTCGTGTGTGACGTTGTTGTAGAAATGGTGCTGGACTTCACTCCTCTTCACCTTTGGAAATTTATGGTACGGCGCAGGAAGAGAAAAGAAAAGATTGACTGCCTTAAATTTTAACAACGTTGGTTTGTTGTGTTTATAATTCGTAATAACTCGCATCTCATGAATGTCCATGTGGCAAGTGGCTGAAAAGCTGTGAAAGAAAATGCAGAAGCTGATGATAAGTCGTTAAACGGCCGATAATACAAGACCGGGTGGACAGAGGGAATGAAGGATGAGCAATAATCATTGTTTTCTGTAATGGATTTCTATTTTATGACGCACTCTCCCGTTGCCTCGTCTTATGAATTTCCAATCAAACCTTTCCCAACTCTTAAGTTGCAGTCGCATATTTAGCAGAATATTTAAGAAGCACACTTTGCTGCTGCTGCGAGTAAAGTGCCAAAGTATTGCCTGCCAAAGCGGTGGGTGAAAGGTTTTGTTATGCTTGACTCTGCTTACATTACCTTGATTTACAACCTCTTTCACGCTGTAGTGGTTCACAAATTATTTAAATTCAAGTGGTAGCTGGTGCAATTCAATTTGCGTTGGGCAATCTTACGGAGGTGCTACCTACATGTCGTCAACAACATCTGCCAAATTGTATTTGCACATGCATAACAATTGCATTTGGCTCTTATCTAAGAAGAACCCCTTCCTCAACTTGTAGTAATAAAGACGAGGCTTCTTGAAACTAGTACCTTTTTTCCTTATTAATTTGCAAATATTAACTTATAAATATGTAAATATATGTACATTATTGATGGGTTGTAGGTTTATTGTGATGAAGTATGTACAGCATGATTCTGATTAGCATACATTGTACTCATTTCCATGTTACAACAGCTATTAAATCATTTTTCTCAATTTTCACATAGGAGTCTGCACCAACGCCACGGCCCCCAGTGTTTCAAGTATCAATCGGATCCTCCGAAATCGGGCGGCGGAGCGAGCAGCCGCAGAATTTGCGCGTGCTGCCGGCTATGCGGGTTTGTATCATCCTTACGCTTTCCCCTGGCCGGCAGCAGCAGCGGCACATTTGTGGTCACCACTTGGACCCTCGGCGGGAAATCCAGGGGGGTCCCCTCACGCGGCCCTTGCCTCCTTAGCGGCTGCATCCGCCGTCGCCCATCCGCCCACGTCCACAACCGATCTCCCTCATGCGAGCAGCCACTCAGCATCGTCCACGCGACCCTCCTCGTCCGACAATGAGAGTCCCAGCATTCGCAACCACAATGGTAAGAAAAAAATGCATTTCGAATATAACCAAATTTCTTATAGGTAATTAGAATGTGAAATAATGCACTATTTAGAAACCGTAGCACGACTATTCTTCAAAGTCTTTTCACTTTGTGGGGTTTTCCAGAATGCACAGATAATAAATACTCGTTCATCATCACTCCGTGGTGTTAATCATATCTGGGCTACGGTAGCAAAAAATGTGTTTGCTCAAAAGTTGAACATGACAGGACAATTTGAAATTTGAATTCTTATCCAACCGACTTTTACATTTTACATTGGTGTCCGTCCATTATGCTGGGCTTGTTAACACCCTTGTACAAAACCATTATTAGCACAACAAGACTTTTTTAATGGATGCTTGAGGAAAGCGAGCAAGCAAACAAAAGAGTGATTAAAACGAGGTTGATAAATTAAAAAGAGTTTGGGCAACGGGCAAGAGAGAGAGAGATGGCTCGAGTTGGTTGGTGGATGAGTTATCGACAATTAATAAGCAAACGCTATATGTTCAAGAGAAAGACTCGTGTAAAAAATATTTGTTGCTTCTTTATCTCATAATGAGATCTGATGGTTATCTCTTGACCACACTTGACGTGCGTACTACGAAGCACACCACCACTGAAACAGAAAGGTATGCTAATCATAATTATTTTTACGCTGCTGCTCCGATATAATTTTAACTGGGGAAATGAACCAGGAGAAGAGCAATAATAGCATTAGTTAATTCTCTGATGGCAAGGGAGGCATGCAGCAGTTATTATATGGCGATGGACCGTATACACTTTTTCCGGCATTTTTCATCTACACCTTCTGAACTCAAAATCATTTGCATACCACGAGGACGGTTAAAAAATTGACCGGGAAAGATTGACCGGGAAGGAAGGATAAGTGATTAAATAATATCACGTTTATCAATAATGCGTTATCCCATCTCTCGCTCTCTTTCCTCGCCTGTAGAAGTTAAAATATTCACACTTTGTAAATCAATCAGCTTGGAATTTTGATGCGGAATTGCACCTTCGTCCTGATTTGTAAACCAACAAAACATATTTACATTCAAGATGGATATGTGTAATATCTCATAAAATCGAGTAAGTCAATCAGGCTAGTCCTCATGCATAACTTGGGAAGTGTAAGCATGAAGAAATTCCATTACAATATTTCACGGTGGAAAAATAGGTAAGGATTTTATTGAATCGCAGTAGTATTGCTTTGTGATGTGACAACTTGTGAGATTTTATCGGTAATCAAATAATGTGCTGGACCATTACTTGTCCCTGTCACCTCAGTCACAATAATAAAGATATTCTTGAGAGTAGGCGTTAACTGACAAGTCCACATTCACTGATTTTCATGGACTTGACTTCTACACTGCAGTTCTATTAATGTTTACTTTTCGCTGCTTCTGGTGGTACATGGCTACTATGTATTCTTAGTTTCTTCTTGACAAGTATTTGTGTTCTATTGTTGACTCTGTCAACCTCAACTATGTCCATATTGGTACTAAAGGATGTAGCAAAAGTTCGGTCACATTTTTGAAAGGCTGTTAATTCCAGGTTTCTCATGATTATAAGTTTAGTTTTTCTGGGACACCCCTTTGGGTCACCCAGGTCGGTTTTGTCCTTCAATTTCTGAAATTTGTGTAATAAATTTCTATACAGTTATACCGGCACATCCTAATTTATCTGCAATTTCTTTGAATTGATACTTATTTCAAGCTTTCATCCCATTGCTAGGATGCTTGTGATTAGGACATCTTCGGTTCACGGTAAAAATTTCAAGTAAAAATATTCAAAAGTTACAGCTAAATCTAGGCCTCGAGCACAAAAATAAATGGACTGAATTTTTGTTACACACTTTAGATTATTGTATAATAATAATGACATGATGATGATGGACGTGGATATGATGTCACTTGATTTGGTTTGATTAGTGAACCATTATGTTAGCATAATGGTGAGGTGCAAATGCATACGGTGCAGACAACGTTATTTAAAAAAGAAGCATATTTTGATACATAACCAGCCAATTAAAGTAAAATAATTTCTCGGTATTTCAGTTGAGGTTGAGAGCCGCAACTCTGAAGATGCATCCCTCGGAGCAATTAGTGGGACGGACAGCGATGGGGAAGTTCCAAAATTTCGCCGCAATCGGACAACTTTCACTCCTGAGCAACTGCAAGAATTGGAGAAGGAGTTCCAGAAATCTCACTACCCATGCGTTACGACGAGAGAGCGACTCGCCTCCAAAACCAATCTCTCAGAGGCCAGAGTTCAGGTAAACTCCTCTTCCTTATTGTCTCCTGTTTTGTCCAACTCTTGCCGTAGATATTTACGTACAAATTATCGCTTTCTACTCCGAGCAACTTAATTGATTAAGAGAACCGCAGCTCTCACTTTAATCAATTGAACTTGCCGAATTTGTGTGTACAATGAATCAGCTACAGGTACGAAGACCAAGCCGACGAGGTAGCCGTTTATCCAGTGTAATATTATGCACTTTTAGTTGATGAAGATGTACTCGTTGGATTAAAATTGGTGGTGTTTGTCCTTGCATGAGTCATACTCTTGGGTTTGGACATTGATAAAAGGTGACCCTTGGCATGGCAGTTAATTCGATGATTGGGAATTCCAAGGGATTTATTTGAATGTGAAGCAGAGTCCAACAACAGGGACAATCAGTCACATTGGATTGGCTTGTCTAGATAAACATTTTCATCATCGTCAGCATATCACGGATGGGTTTCGTCTCTTCTTCCTCTTCCTCTGTTTATTCGAGAGGAGGAAGAGTTGAGAGAGAGATGGAAATTGATCTCAGCATCATAATCATAATATCACCTTTGAAGGAGTCTCACTAGTGGATTTTTATACGGGGATGAAGGAGGAATTGTGTGCTTCTCCTGACTCCTGTCATTTGTAGGCATTAGACATAGTTAAGCACATTATTCTCTCTCCGAGAGATCCGATCATTTTTCACCCTTTCTTCAATTGCTACATGTGTATACGTACGCCAACATCATGATGTTCCGAAGTCTTTCCTCCCCTATAAAAATCCTACATGGCGTAAGATCACTACGCATACATTATCTGTGCGGCTTTATGGCAGGAGGATCTTATCAGTATCAAACTGATTTATTTCATGACACATTTTCATGCACTTCTCTCGAGTCATTTTTGTGGGTGGGAAATCCATAAAAAGTTTATTTGACGGGTTACAAGTAGAGATTCGCGTAATGACAGGTAATTGTGGGACATGCAGGCAGGGTTGGAGTCCATACCTAAATTAAGTAGTATTTTAGACGGATTAAACTCCTTTCAGCAAACAGACCATGTTTTTTGAAATGTTTAGAGCTGGAATTACTCAAGAGTGTATGTACATAGATAGTTGTACGTACTATGAATTATATTGACCACAATGATGATGATGACGATAAGACTTTTTGCATCAATTATTGGACAGCTTTTTTCAAAGAGTGCATAACGCAGTGTGCTGACTGAGCTTGCTGTGGGAAATCTTTTGAAGCAGGAGAGCTGTTTTATATATACGTCTCCAAGCGTATTACATCAAGGCAAAAGTGGGTAAACATTATTTAATTTGTTGTCACTCTTCTTCTTCTTTTACACGAATAATAAACTCTCTCTTGTCTCGAGATCGGACCTGGCTTTAGTTTGTTTGTTGGAGTCACTAATGAACACTAAGTTGATCAAACGGGCCGCCCACAATGTGCTCACCTCATGAATGATTAGGAGAAAATCTGTAATTTTTCATACCTTAATCCATTTGAACATTGTCCAGCATTTGTGACAAAGGTAAATTCTGTCGAGGTGTGAAATTAAATAATCCAGCGTCCAATGGACCGAATGGTGGACGGAATTGGAAGCAAAGATGGCGATGGTGGTGGTTGAAGGCTGCTTAATTACCTTTGATTCTAGTGATAAATAACAAAACTTTGGTCATCGTATTAGCATCATCCGTCGGCATCCGGCGCACCACATTTGCATAACACCACCACGGCTACCACGTAGTGGAAGGGACCAAGAGACGAGACGACTCTGCTGGGCATGGATAATGAACACTCCGGGTGTCATCAGGAGACTGAACTCGAGGAGTGTCAGCCTGTTAAATTCTTTAATTGGGGGTTGTTAACATGCTCTTACCGCACTCTCTCCATGAGATATTGCCGCTATTTTCATGCATCACATCCCAACTTTGAGATCTATTTTATTACAAATTACGAACCATTGTTGAACGTTTGGTTCTCTGCAGCCTTTCCAAGTTTGTCCTCTGGCTGGAGCAGCAACTTATGTGGAAAAGTTATCTGCTACTATGTACATACGTACTGGTTGGTCTCGCGTGGTGTGGTGGTTGGCTGGAAAAAGGGCTGAGCATGTAGTGTAGGGCATCGTTAGATTGAGATCTGGAAAATTACCAGATATTCGAATTCTCATTAAAACAAACCCTCCTCCTCCTTCGCTATCCAGGAACACCCTCGGCCAGAAACAAAACGTGGTTTAATAAGCGTATATATGTTCGTACATGCACACACTGTTTTAGTTGGAGCTGATGTGTGCATTATTCAGTCGTCATAATTGATACTCGGCACAAAAATGTTGTTCCTCTTTCCGCATGACCAACTCAACAAAGTGTTTAATAAACCATTACTACCATTATTTTACGCGGTTCGTGTCTGTCTGAAGCTGAATTATTGTAAAACGCTAAAATTGTCAAAATGGAGTGTGTATTTACTTTGTACTGTAGCCAACACAGGAAGCGAGCTAGTTGTTGGCTGCATACATAACTAAATATAATATCTGTATAATTGAGACATTGCTGGTATCCTTGGTAAAACTTGTTCCTTTTTCCCCACGAGTCATGACTGGGGGCAGTTTTAATAAGGTTACTCAGAAATGACTCCATGAAACGGTCCACAATTAAGTAAATCCCACACTCCATACGAAGACGACTATCTGCGTAATTAATGCTAGATAGACTACCACTTACTTCTTCGGGATCTGCGAAGAGTTTAGTTTGGGAAACTATTTGTTTGTTCAATTCAGGTTTGGTTTTCCAATAGACGAGCCAAATGGAGAAGACATCAAAGGATGAATTTGCTGAAGCCCTTCACAATGCGTTCTTCGACGTCTCCAAGTGCCGATGGCCAACTTTCCCCGGCGGTTTCTCCTTCCCCACCGCCGCCCTCCTTCAAGAACACCACCACCACTTCCAACAACAACAACAACAACAACCACCATCATCATCACAACCACCACCACAACCACCACTCGGCAAGTCGACGACCGGATTCACCCCACTCTGGCCGTACCCACCATTCCACCTCAAACCCCCACCACCACCACTCCTCCTTCACGCAGAAGCACGGCTCCACCCAACCTCCGTCGACCCTCCATCCACCGGCAAATATCCCCTTGCCACTGGTCATGGGTGGTGAACACAGCGCCTTCATTCGACCCAACTTCCATCATCAAGCCCTCAACCTCAAGCCAAGCTTTAACCAAGCGATGGACAGACTGGTCACGCCCGGCTTCTTCTTTAACCATCATCTTCACAATAACAATCGGCCAGGGTCCCCACAACCCTCGATTCCTAACTCTGAGTCTTCCGAGTTGGTCGACATGAGTGACTGTGAGTCCGAAACGTACGACCTTCGCCAGAAACACTACGTTCACAACAATAACAGTGGGGGAGGACGAGGAGGAGGAGGTAATAACCGTTCTTCCTCGAGACACACTCCGTCCCCAATGTCCAGATCTCCATCACCACCAGTTATCAATAAGGCTTCCAACAATCGGGAACGACTTTCTCCCGAAAAACAACTAGGTTCTCCAGAACAAAACAAGAAGCTGATCCGCAGAAAGAGTACCAATTAATTATCCAGTCTCTCCAGTAGGATTATCCAGTAAGATTATCTAATCTTATGACTTTATCGCTTTATGTATGACGACTTTTATTGGATACCTTTCTCAGAGGAAACGTATAATTTATTATATATGGTTATCAACCAAGTGGGGAATTATCATACCATAAATAATAGTGCAGACATTTGAATGCAAACATATATAAGAGAGGCAAGATAACCAACGATGTGAGAGGCAACTACGTAAATTTGCCATGTAATTCCATATCAAATGATGCAAGCAAGTAGATTTGAAAGGAAACAAAATCATCCGATATTTAGCAACCTCAACATCACTCTCCTGTCCATGAAATAATGGAGACTATCATATTGGTATTTCAACCATTGTTAGTAGCACGCACAAAAACCTTCGTCTTCTTCATTCTTGACTATCATGACTGAGCAGAGTTGCACTTTTGGGATTCTTTTTTCCTGTGTCCATTATGTTTACATCAAATCAAACCCAGCCTTCATTTTCATTTCACGGTTTCAAATGTCATTACCCAACTTTAAGGAAAGGAATAATAATACGTTCGATCGTACAAGCAGGCAGCGCATTCCTTCGTCCATCCGACACCACCACTATTTCGAGTTAATAAGGATGGACACTCATTCAGTCGTTCAATCACTTTTCCGTACTTACGTACGTACCCATTGTGCTTCAAGTATTCGGGTGCATTTATTTATAACGCTGAATTGATTTGATGCTTCATTAATGAAATACTCTCCAACTGAGATAATCAAGTTCAAAGTTTAAACTATAATAATGCAGAATCTGAAGCGTGGCAGGTGGAGATTCATGTGTACTTGGATACAAAATTACATCCTAAATATGCTTCAAATATTTCAAAAAGAAAATTACGATAGATATTCATGCTTCTTGTGCATTTGAGCAGTCAGTTATTTGAGGAATTACCATTTTTGTTTCCAAAACCGAAAGATGCAACTTAAAAGTAAGCACATGCGTGTGTGAACAATGATCAATCATGACTTAATTTAATCAAAGTTTTCCCAACTTGCCCCTATTTTCTGTCGAATGAACAAATTGTCCAATTCCAGCTACTTCTTAATAATTGGTTTATTTCTGTATAACTTAACTACCAACAATTTTGCAACAACATTCTTATTTATTTCTTAATACTGTTCTATTGGAAGAAATGTGTGCACGTAAATTTTGAGCGTGTCAAACTGATTTTTGTCACCCAGCCAGCCACCATTCTTCAGATACCAATTTCATTTCCATTATGTGAATTATAAACGCTTCTTATATAGCTTCGCCAACTGAACTTGCAACTGAACCTATTTTTGTGCATGCTAAGATCTCTCTTCCCATTCGAGTCGAGATACCCCTTTGGAAACAATGAAGTCGAATGATAGCATACATACACACGCACTGTACGAACCTTGCCGTTTGTGTGCATGGCAAAGTGCATAAGATTTAGGGGAAAAAATCTGCTTCAAGAGATCCATTACTTAACGCAACGCAATCTTCAATATTATGGTCTCGATCAGTCGTCAATGCAAATAAGGATGATTAGTTCGTGGTCAGGGTGCACATAAAATTTAAACAACACGCATAGAAATTGAAGAATTAATAATACTATACATGAGATTACCCACTTACATACATACACAGTATTTTAAAGCCTGAGCATAAAACAGCTCACGCAAATGGATGTAGTAGTAGTACGTAAAAAGAATAAAATAACGTGTAGGTGTTCTTCCTCAGAAAATGAGACGGACAAAACAGACGTATCTGTATCTCTTCTCTGGCCACAACTACTTTAAAAGGCCACCCGTGAAATGTTCCATGTCTTAGTGTAAAATTAAATTATGCCGATCAGCTAAAAAAAACATATACAAGAACAATGATACCGATGATTTAGTGTTAACGCTAAATAGTTGCATTATTTACTTATGTAAGCGCAGCCCTTATTGCGCGACGAGCCTCTTGTTTACCAATAGAGTTCCTTATTAAAAAATTGTTGTTATAATACTTATAAAGTAAAAAAATAGTTGGTGAAAATCCTAATAAAAGGGTTTCTTCTGGCGTATTATGATAAATAAATTGGTGGAGAAATGCTATTATGGATGATGTGATGGTGGCGTGGTAAAGCCGTAATTCCGGTAAAACATTCCCAGTGTCATATATAGTCTGCTGAAAATGCACCAAATATTAGGTTTGTGACATAAATACCAATTTAGTTGAGTAGTTATTTAAGAAGACAATTAATGTGTAAGTGGTACCTAATCTTTCGTAACTTATGCATACCTTTTGCTACATATATGTATCTCGAATTAAATAAGTAAGATAATATATGTACAAATAATTTAGTATCAAATTAAAGGCGCGTCTACTATAAATATCTAAATGATGACTGGATTTTTAACTTATTTTGTAGAATTATTAAATTAATGTTAATCATCAAGAAATTAAGTAAGAACGAACCAGTTGAAATTGTACTTCCACTTCCAATAAATGACAAAGTAGTAAATAAATAAATACATACCGTAAGTGATCGAATTAACCGACATCGAACCACAATAGAAAACGTACATACGGTCCTTGTCCAATCAACGTCCACAGAGGAGGCTAGCCCAATGTATGTATATACTATTCTAGAATTTCAAATTAATGGCAAAATTACCAAGATTACTCGAACTAAAACCGGGTGTAAAAAATAAAATGGAATTGTCGCAATTCAAATGAACGTGTCTTGTTGTTTCTTTCTTTTTTCAAAAATTTCACTCAATTACCACCTAATAAATCATCATCATCTAGATCACACCTCGCATGAACTAACAAGGTGTGAAAAATCAACAGCTAATTAACAGTGTTAGTTCCTCATGAAAATTAATCATTCCCCGAAGCAGCCACGCAGTCTGGTTGAACCCAAGAAAAAGACCCAACAACAACAAGACTTGGTTTGGAACACTGAGATGATTTCATTTCATACAAGAATCGAGTTGCTCAAGAAGAAGAAAAAAAATTAAAAAGTTTGATGAGATATTTCTTCCGAGGATGAAAGCGTGTGTGTGTGTGTGTGCTGGTGGTATGTAAGTGAAGAAGTTCTTGACGAGTGTTCAAGTAAGCATCAGAAGTAGTGGTTTTTAGTTTGTGTTGTAATAATCTTCAGGAAATTCAAGAAGTATTTAAGTACGTACGTAGATTTGGTTTAGGTGGAGCCTATGGAAGAACAATGCGTCGAGGAAAAGTATCTTTTAGGGGTGCAAGCGTATTAATGTGTGAGTGGATTAGAAGACGAAGGATTCTGAAGAGGTGGTGAAGAACAGAGGCGATGATGGAAGAGGTGTGATAATGGGTACGAGGGAGAAGATGAATGAGGATTAGTTGACTAATTACAGGGAGATGGATGGATGCGAGAACAGAGATAACATGACAGAAAGTTAATACAAATCAGTTCAAACTTTTGATTTTTAATCCTCGCTTGGATGAGCAAAACATGATTTTGGACGAGGCAGAAGAATTTAAACAAGTGCATGTCCATTTGTATTGTTGAGCTTGGGTGAAGGCTGAACGAGTCAGAATAGGTTGCATGTGTATGAACATGGTATTAAGGGGACAGCACCGCAAATTCGAGTTTAATTCCTACGAGTGGGAAATTGTGTAGGACCACGTTTCAAATAAATTTGTGGTTCCATTTGTGCATATTTATTTTTAAATGAGTGACATTGCGAAATTATTACTATTTATTTATTGCGGACAAGGGTTGAGTTGCATAATGGAAATAAAAGTCAGCAAATTCTGGAGTCGCGGTAGAAGAATGAGAATTTGAAGGAAGTCGAGGCGAGCGAGAGGCGTTGAATGTGGAGCATTATCTTTATTTAGAGATGGAAGGATGATAGGTTATTGTGGTGGTGAGTGGTGGTAGATAAGTACGAGCATAAGCATAAGCATAGGAAGGAAGAAGAGCCTGGAGAGAGAGAAAAAACGGAGCTCATCAAAGAGCAGACAATAGAAAGGTAGTTGTCGCGTTGATGAGATTTTCGCGCTGACTTCTCCTAATTAATCACCTTCAACAATTGAAAATTAATCAAAGTATAACGAGACAGGAGGAGTAATGAGGGTGTTTATAGAGGGCAATGCACATGCCAAGGAACTTTGGTAGCCCACTCCCCACTTCGCCTGTCTTTTTCTTCCCCTTTATCATTATAATATTATTATCCCCATTATTCTCCACTGAAAGGCACAGGGGTAGTCTTGGGACAGATCAGTTGGGGCTTGTTTGATCAGAGTCATGCTGAGGAAGTAATGGAGATGAGATAATGGGACTGCACTGACTTGCATCACCTATTCACACAACCTCTCTCTCCCCATCACCCATCGGAATTCAACCAATTCACCAAAACCACAAACAATGCCAGTCACTCTGAGCACCATTAAAACACCTGTACTCCGATTTGCACGCTGCTCACTTCATTTATCCAGCAGCCTTGTTACCCATAATCGAAAATACTTGAAGATAAGAGCACCACAACTACACATCTGATACCCAATTCACCGTGGTAGCCTCAACTGATTTCTCTCAGGTATTCAGTGGTCATCCCGATTTCGAGTAAAAGTCGAGCATTACATAAAAGCATTTATGTATTGAGTGAGTAACTCAATCCGTTTGGGTCTGACTTTCACTGTTGGAAACTAAAATCACTTCAAATCAAACAAGATTTGTTCCTCTTGAGAAAACCCCCAGTTTTCAAAAGCATGTCCATTCTTCCACCTAATCTTTTGTTCACAAAAATGCCACTGGGCTGAATTGGCCGAGATAATGCGTTTGTGGTAAAAAGTAAACTAAACACACTGGAAACTTGTCTGTAACTTCAATTACATTAATTTTACAGTGTGGTGTGAGATGATTTGTCCGAGGGAGAAAAATTGATCAAATGTGTAAAAAGAGAGAGAATGACGCCCAGGATCAGAACGAATTCTTGGACCAATTTGTCATGGGCAGCAGCAGCAGCAGCGTTATTGAAGTTATTTCAGATATCACTTTGGTCATGGTTGTTTTAAGTGGAAGAAGGCCTGTACAGGGAATACATACGTACATACGTACATACCCTGCACTGCGTATGTATTCAGGTAGGTATCTCTACTACTGGTGCTATTACTGTACTGCTCCTACCTGCCACAAAATCTCGAATATCATCCACCAAAATATGATTGACTATCAAGGGGTTTGACTGTTTGTGAAAATGCTTACCAAATGCTTACCAGCTCCAAGGCGAGTTAGTTGATTCAATGCGAGGATAATGATGATCCGTTAATGATCGCTTCGAATTAGAGATATTTTCTTTGCCCCCTCAAGAAGAGCAATGGCTTGAGTGACCATTGACCACCCTGAGTGGCCGAGCATCCTCGTGTAAAAGGTCTATTGGGAAAGGCCACCGCAAAAAATATTAAACTATCACGATCTGACCATTTTCAGAAACCATGGCAAATCCTTTGGTCAATCCCTAATGCAATTTATTTCCTGAAGAAGAAGGACCAAGACTTGTGCCATACTCATGATATGATACTCGCTCTATGGGAGGAACCCAACAAGACATTATGAAACGGACTTTACTTTTCTACAAAATTTAGCCATCACTCTTCTCCGTCTTCATTCCCGGTGTGAAGACAGACTTTTGCAAAAAGAGCAATTTTGTGTGAACTTGTAGTAAAGTAGAGATATCACGGAAAAGAGATCCTCTCACTTTTTACAAACACCCAAACTTCACGCCGAATGAAGGAAATTATTTAATTGCACTTCACGCTGTACTCGATTTCAGTGGAGAAAGATGCGCATGCGAGAGATTTGAACTCGGAATCTTGCAAATGAAAATATTTTGACCCAGGGGAAAATTATCTTTTTCTTTCTTGATTGATCACTGCTACCAATAAAAATTACTGCATGTACGTAACGTAAGAGTTGACGGTGGTGGTGTCAAAACAAACAACTTCAACTGGAGTAAGGAATAAATAACCAATTATATTAATACTCGCATCGCATCGGATTCTAAATTTTGAAACTGACAATGAGTAATTGCATCACTTTTTGCACAACGGATTGAGTTAATTGGTGGTGGACACAGTTGCAGCAATTAACAAGGTAATGTTGCTGTAAATTAGAAAAAGTTGTGATGAGAATCATTCATTGTGATTATTGCTGCCTGTATATTTTAGGCATCAAATTTTAGTAAATTGCATGATACATACATAAGATATGGGTACAGACCAAGTAGATAATTCCAAATTAATTCTGTATTCCTCAATTTCACTCTGTGCGAAGCCAAGTAAAATATTATTACTGAATTAGACGCTAATGGAGAATGCTCATCCAATTGTATAGTTAAATCATTGTGGGATTGATTATTGGTTAGTGAACTTTTCTGAGTCATCGAGTGCTCATGCAGGAACAATCCCTCATCAGATATAAGAATTTTAAGCTGTCCATCAAATTATGTCACACTTTACACCCTAACAATAGTCAATAGCTCTTGGATCATTACACTTCATATCTTCATTCTGTGTCGAACAATTGACCAGTGCAATTGCTAGAAAAGCTAGTCCTCTCGTGATTTCTGCTGTTTCATCGTAGCTCCAAAAGGATTACGTCGCATTAGAGTCACACTTGCTACCATTTGCGAGGAGGTTATAAATATGAGAATATTTCAAAATTTGCTATGCTCATCTTTAATGGAATAACAAATTTCCGGAATTATAAACTCGCCCAAAGACATAAACCCGACTTTGCGAATTTAACTTTTAGATACAAATTTATGTAGAAGATTGAAAATATATCAAAATGCATACAAACAGATTTAAGACATTGTGCATACATGAGACATGAATCACTGGACGAGTTGAGACGTGGCGCACCTATTATGCATATTAGTCAAGTATCCTTGAAATAAGGTCACCAATAAGGAACTCTGACTCCACTGCAATGACAAAAAACTACTAAGGTTGGTCTTAATAATAATGAATAAATAAGTAATACTGATTATTCCCCGTGCTGGATTATTATTGGATCAATGGACTAATGAACAATGTCCCTGGCGCAATAAATAACCTTCCTCTACACACATAATTTGAAATCCAAACCATGTTTCATGTCTCGACAATGCGTCTTCGTCCACACACCACACCACGAGTAGGAAAAGTACATATAATCCGTAGATTTAAGCCAGACGGATGGGTCACCGTTTATTTTTAAGATATGAGTAGCATTAAAACAGTTTGATTTAATGACTGCACTTATCCATTCCCAATTGTGGGTACACCAAAGCAACAATGTTTCAGACTTCGATCTCATTGATATGTGGTCTGCAGATGACGATTGATATTTAATGAATAACAGGTATGAATCTACAATGCTAGCATACATTTTTACGCGTAATATTTAAGACTCCTGCCAGTCTGCACGCGAACATTTTCTTCATGTTTCTCTTTAAAAAAGCATCGGCAGTTACAAAATATTACGACTGCTATTCTTCTTCATTACTCGTCTTGTGGAACTCCGCTGGAGAGGAGGCTTCATAAAGTGTGGAAACTCATCCACGATTATATCTGGTACTAAATGTCTCTTTTAAATATACGTTAATAGCATATTTTCACTTTGCATAACATATTTACTCAAATTTTCTAGAACTCAACTGAAATAATCTCAGTAAAAAATAAACCAGGACCATCTTTTCAGCTCGTCGTCAGCTATGAGGGAACCACAAAGTCAATTTTCTTTCATCTTTCCTTTGGAGGACGTATATATACTTTTCTCGACAAATAATTTAACCCACACTGCCTGCCAAGGAGTGACCAGAGAGCACAGAAGCTCACCTCGCACCCGCAATTCCATCCGTTGCAACAATGCCACAAACTTTTTTTTGTCCTACCACCATGACCACGAAGAGCGCTGTGGATTCATGGGAATCCAATTCGACGCCTTCAATTTTCTCACTCACTTCACGAATTACAGATTACAAGTAAATCTTCTAGCCTGTGTATGTACCAAACGATGGGTCGGCTGGATGGACCGCCAGTCCAGCCACTGAACTCTTTAATTAACGCCTTCGTTGTCACTTGACGCGTAGCTTTTTGACCCACCAACAACATTTGTGTTATTGTACCTTCCCATGCAGTGCTTGACGGAATGGTTAGGCGAATGTAAGTGAACTTAACATTACATACCGTCCTTTGAGCTTGGATGTCTATTAATCAGTGTGGTACGTGAAATTTGGTACTTTAAAATGTTTGATTTGGGAACATCATTTTTGTTATGCGATTCTACATAAATTTATCGAATTCAGGTTTAAGAGACTGAAATAATCTTTATGTTATATATTTCAGGATTGTATGCAACCATGATAAGAAGACTATTCGTGACAAAAAGGACAGTGAGAAGAAGGTATCAATTCGTCGCCGTTATGAATTTTTTCATAAAAATAAAATATATACATCACGATATCTTTGCCGTGAAGCATATCAAAACACCACGTGAAAAATACGCTGCTTATTCCAGTAAACTGAATTCTCTTTCAACTCAATTGAGCCATCCATCCAAATCATTCTCATTAACCTCTACGGTATTGATAACAATTAAGAATATGGTCAAAGCTGGGTTTGCTTGAGCATGATTTTTCAAAGCATTGTCGAGAAATCCACGTCAATCAATTACATTCCGATGCATTGTTAATTCATTACACTTAAGCACCAGGCTAACCATGACATTAGAAATAGGTAGACCATCATACTTATTAGCAATACTAACGTCCTAGGTAAAACAGATTTGGGAACTCTACATAGGTGAAAAAATATATTAATTGATAGTGATTGCATGCACACGCTAAGAAATAAATATTCCGCACGAGCTATGTAATATACCATTGCTCGAAATTGGAAACAATAGAATGCAAAAAACGAAGGAAGAATAGAAAGTATGATATCCAGATGAGAATCTCATTGTCTCAATATGCCCACAAACTCATGACCCAACCAACCAACAACAGCTCTGATAGAGTGAGACGAGACTGCCGACATGCCATCTCATTTTGGAAAACTCGGATCTGCGTTTAGAACTACTAACCCATATGTATGCGGTTGTCTCATTTTATCGGTTGAATTTCCGAACGATTTTAGGGACCGTGTCAATGGATTAATATTCATATACACTCAAACAGGATATGATAAATACATTGTTTTTGACGGAATGTATGTGTTGGCAAATAGTGAATTGGAGACTTATGTATTGACCTGCAACTGATGGAAATGTGGATAAGCTTGCGTACGTGGTGGATGGATAACTTGGAATTTGAAGGCACAAAGAAATACCGAGTTTTATTTGACTATTATAATTATAATTTATGCTCAATGTCAATTTTATTGGGTAGCCTTGAGGAGCGGGTATTCTTCTTGTTTCTTTCAAGTTTTGAGTGCGAATTGCTTGGACGGAGCGGCAGCGAGATTTTCTTCAATCAACTGGCTCTCTCTCTATTATTGCTAATTTCGCCGCCTCCTCTCTACTTTCGAGTCTGCCCTTCTTCTGTATTGTTTTTTCTAGTAGTCAGTTAATTAACTAACTATAACAAGTACTAAAGACAAAAATGGCTTGTGTCATTTGTCATGAGAGTTGTATTGACTTTAGCGAAGCCCCCTCCGTTCCGGCGGAGGAGGACGAGCTTTTGTCACTGTCGCCGTCGTCGTTCGAGAATTTGACCAAGTGGTCGTCAACGTCAGATGGTTTGACCAGGTGGTCGTCATTGTCAGAGAATTTGACCAGGTCTTTGCCGTCGTCAGCGGGTTTACTCAGGTCGTCGTCGTCAAAGGGTTTATTCAGGTCGTCGTTGTCGGCAGAGACTTTGCCCAGGTCGCCGTCAAAGAGCCAAGTTTCTTTACAACCTTCAGGCCGCGGAACTTGTTGCTTTTCATTTCTTAAACGCCGGGCGGTGAGGGCTGAAGAGGAGGACGAAAAGGAAAATGAGGAACCGGTAGTGATGGAGGAGGAGGAAAATGATGAGGAATCGGGAGTGATAGAGGACGACCCCGTCTACATCGAACCGGCAGTTGAGAGCCCCATCGTCGCCAATGGGTGTGGCCACGTCTTCCACCGATCTTGCCTCTACGCTTGGGCTCAGTCCTCCACATCAAGCGGGGACAATCGGGGGTGCCCTAGGTGTCATGAGCCGATGGATCTTGAAAATCTCACTAACTTGAATTTGGAACCGATGTCTATTATTAAGCGTGAGTTTATATTTATTTTGTAAAATTATGAATCTTGACATTTCATGCTTTGACTGTAAAATAAAATATATAATATATAATGGAGTTCCAATGAAACTGACCCACCATTATGTACTAAATTAATTGCTACAATCTGATTTTGATTTTGTTTACTATTTTTAAGGAAATACTGCATGTGGGCCGCTGATTTCGATGTCGTTGAATCAGTATTACTACTTGAAGGAGGGATCAGGTGTTGCAAAGCGGGTGTGCGAGGCTCAACTGGAGGAAGCAAGGAAGCAGTGCCTTGAGGATAAAAAACAATTAGAACGCAATTTTAAAGAAGAGTGCGACCAACAGATTCGCGACTTAATTGCGGTCCATGAAGCTTGTCTTCAGAATCTAAGGTCTGAATTGAAGAAGCAAGAGGAAGGAACAGAGTGAACAGACTGAGAATGCATCAAAAGGATATCTACTCTTCTAAATTGTTAATAAATAGTTATACATTTTTGGCTCCATGTAGCTGTTTTCCGATATATTAATGTCAGTTAAAAACTTAAAATTTCCAGTTTTGTTTAATTAGTTCAATGCTATGTATGTTATTCAATCTAAAACTATGTCAGTAATTATAATGAATAGATATAAGAAAGTGGATTGTAGTCCGCTTGTCGGCCGATTTCGGGGCCAACACTCATTTATATTACAAATATTACAAGTTTATATTTATTTAAATTTAAACACAAAATATTCACGGAAAAGGTTTATATTTTCGACTTGGATCGTAAATGCAAGATAATTGTAATATGATATCCAAATAAACTGTGTTCAGTATCGGTCTTCCACAACTTTGCGTATAAGGCAAGTCGTAGACTTTTGTTTTTAGTACTTTGTAATTATTTTTTATTTCATGTAAATTAAATTAGCACAACAAATCTGGTAATTTGTCATATCGTGTTTTCCTTCTCTTGCGACCGCCATAGTTGGGACACCACATGTTGCAACAGCGAATGTACTGGTATGGTCCGCAGCAGCTGCATTCTCGTCCGCCGCCAGGGTGTTGGCGCCAGCCCCACCAAAAGTGAAAGTCGCTCTCGTGGCAACCCAGCCTGGCGTTCCTCAACAAGTACGTTGCCTTCAGCAGGAACGGTCAAAGTTTCTGGAAAGAGTTATATTTAATTTTATTAGGTGGAAATGTTTGCAATAATATTTAACAGTATAATAACGTGATAACAAAATTTGTGTGGTACGGGTTTATTGGGATGTACCGATTTGCATAACAAAATTTACTCACCGAGTTAACAAGTCGCAAATCGTTACCAATGAGGTAAAGACGTATTGGGCCTTGTTAGTGACAATTTTGTACCACGTTATTTACAGTGATATGATACCCTTACCCCCAACGCTTTCCGCTTTCAGGTTTTCAGGTAATATCGCGAAAGTTACCAAAAATCCTAACACGACGAAAGAGGTCCTCATTTTGACTTGCTTTGTTTGCGAAAAAGGATATGCAGTTTTACGAGCTAACAATAGAGATGCATAAATGCTCGAAAAGTGTAACAATGAGACAACCTTGTTACATATATGTATGCAGAAATAAAATTGTGCATTAAAGAAATGCAAAGGCTGCAGCTTTATGCACATTTGACATTGGACTTAATAACATTATTGACTAATTCGAAGGAAATCTAATTACAGATACGCAAGTTTAAAATTCATGCCTTAAAAACAAACTCGCTTCAACTTTAAAAGTACGATGTATTGTTTACGTCTTGGTACGTACTGCCAATTTTTTTTTTCGAACAAATGCTTGGCTTTGCTTGCCAAGTAAAGTAATGGAGGTCGAATTATTCTCTAATATAATGGCGTGAGAAGTTTGCATTACGCGAAGAGTTATGGCAATATGAATAGTTAAATTCATATCGCATACTGTAGATTGTATTAATTTTGTTAAAAAACTGTCATTTTAATTAAATAAATGTGAGGTGAACTTTATTTATTTAAACGTTTAACACAAATACAGTTCATTTATTTGATTGTGATGATGTTTATAATATGATTTCCCTAACAGGTACATACTTACCCGTGGGCCTCTATAATTTGTTAGTTCAACAGGATATAATTTTTGTAAGGTGCACGAAATATTGCCAAAGCAAAAATGCTGATTAGAAATATGTTCATCCCGTTGGGTCGTTGGTTTATTTTCCAGTTGGGACCTTTAAGACATGTACCCGTAGGAAATTGGAGGTGGGGGATTGTACACCGGTTGCAGTGCCTGAAGACCGTCTTGTTTTGGAACAAGACGTGTCCTTCCATCCGGTGTTTTCATGACCACGTAGTCTCGCCCGTTTATGTTCTTCAAAAATTTGTCCGTGTCAAAGAAGGTAGAAGCTCCAGAAACTGAGAGATTTCCTTTGTAAAATCCAAGCGGCTTCTCAGCCGGTACAAGTTGTCCTTGCACTGCAAACAAAAATAGTATTGAATTCCCGTACATGTACACCACTCGTGAATAAAACCGGAGGAATTTAATAATAAACGACGTACGTTTCCTGTTGAATATCAACTTTGACAGCACTTCAAATATGAACGAGACGAATGCAAGGAGGTATCCAGACCCGCAGAGAATATAGGTTGAAGCCAAGTCCCCATTTCGAAGCTGTCTCTCCCTGAAGTCAGAGTCGGCGGAGCAAGGGTCTCTCACAGGCAAGTCCTTTCGTTTCCAGTAGTCAAATAGTCCAGCTTTGGTCAGTTTCTCCATTCTAGTATTAATTATTTACGAACAAAACATTTACAAAACGGACATGTGACAGACTTATAAATAAATGGCAAACTTAATTACATGGGTTCAAAGATAGGTCGGTATGTTGAGTTGACAGGGAATGCGAATCCGTATGGTACCCGTAATATCGGTTTTCGGGACATGATGAATGCACACCGTTTGTACAACGGGGTGTTCATTTCAGATTGTGCCCTGAAATCCTTGTAGATTATCCGTTCAATCCGACTTTTTTCGTCCAGCAGCAGATACCCTGTAAAAACATACATGGGCAGACACGTGAAAGCGGAAAAAGAGGACCAAATCCCATTTTATCATCAATTATTCTTAAATATGAACTCACTCTTTCGGCGAACCATTTCAATCATTTTTGGGTAGTCGTCCATAAATTCTCCATAAGACTCGTACTTGAACCTGACCTTCTCAAACTCGGGCCACCAGTATCCAGTCTGCCAAGTAATAAGTGTCATTAAATTATTGCACATCGAGGAACATTTTAATAAGCGCTAATAAGTAATAAATGCACCTTTCCCAGTGTTCTGTTATTTGTTGTTCCTGCTTTTGCAACAGATTCAATTGTGTCTCCCTTACGCGCAATCCAATACGACCGGTACCCAATCTTCTCCAAATTATCGTAGGGAATTGGGACCTTTGACAGAGTGAGGTAAGCTGTCAGATTTGCAGTGTAGAAAGCCGTCAAGATGGTCACAAAAATCCACCAGGTTGCAAACAGTATCCTTGTCGAGTCTGTATGTATGATTCATTGATTAAAGAAATTAAACTATTTATGTGCAACGATAATGTGGCAAAATGTAATATTTTTGTTAAGGATAAGTCACCAGCAATTGGTTTGAGAACAGATCCCTGCTTCATTAATGCTCCATAGACAAACCAGATGCACGAGCCCAGTGTGGATGGGGCAGCCAGTGTTGGGTGACCTTTGCACATGTAGCATCGAAATTTGATCAACCCCCAGCACAAAGGTCCCATTAATAGTAAGGACACCATCAGACAGTACCAAACCTAACCAAGTTGGAACATTTGCATGTTACTTCAATTAAAATTGTATTTAAATTTTGCATGCTGTGCCTGACAAAGACTGAAAGTTATCTAAAAATTTATGTGGTCGTGTTGCATATGACGCAATGGATTTATTATTTCTTTACTATTTCAAAAGTAAAGTCTTACCTCGGTTTGAAACGGTGCAACCAATCCGTCTCCATCCGTGGTTTCCCGTGGTCTGCTCATCATTATGTGCCATTGTTCTTCACCGAAAGGTTTTGAAAATTCTACATGCTCCACTCGAGTGTGAATCTGACTCATGTAGGTCAATGCTATGTCTGCTTTCTATTTATCAAATTTGACAAAGGTGAATTGCAATTATGTTAACTGGTCCAGTTTTTTAGTAGACGCATGAAAATTCTATGCAAGTTATATATTATGTAAATCAGTCTAGCCTTACATCTTCCAGTATCATTTTAATAAGCCCTCTGGGCTTACCATCGTCGCCCACATAGCCAACTTCGTTGTCGTCGGGAAACACCAGTTCCCAATTTATGCCAAGGAATTCCCTCAAAACGCCAAGAATCGTACGACCAACTCCTTCAAAGCTACCGTTTTGTGCAGAAATTAATTTTTCCACGAACGGTGCTTCCTGACAAGTAAGCGGAAAACAAGGCTTTAGTCAATTCTTTAGTTAACAACCCCACACCACATCAACTTACATTGACCATGGCCACCCTGATTTTTTGCCCGATAAGCTTACGCATATCGACACGATGAGTGGTATTCATGGTCCAATAACCCTTTTCATATTGTTTCGCATCGTAGGGATTTGTAGGGCTCCAAATACTCTTCAGTTGGTCTATTCATATGATTTGCATTAGTTTTTAGGAATTAACTTTGGGAAAACCTATCTAAAACTGCAGAAAATACTTACAATCCATAACCGGGGTAGGGTTTGGGCAATTCTTCTGGTACCCTGTAAGGCACCCAATGGCTAAAAGAAACGGAATCATTTTCCCTTCGCCTTATCAGCTTGTGTGCTCAAATTTCGAATATAAATTCCATGAGGTAAAAGCACCAAACTGGTGGAAAGTTTATGCACGTAGAACCTGAGTCGGGTCTACGGCTGAAGGAAAGAATTCTGATTTTCTAGCCAGTAATGGTAAAAAACTGAGATATGTGGGGAATTAGATACCGTCTTGATTCGGGGACACCGACGCCACAACTGAATAAAAAGTGGGAATGAGTTCACCACCACGATACATAATACCAAGATGTGTATATACCAAACCGTGGTAAGAAGTTTTACCACTCGACACTGTGACACCTTCCTCTCCCCCCGATAGCTGTTGTTTGACATTTAGTCCGACATTATGTCTTCCCCGATACAAAGAAGGCCGCACGTGGGAACGAACAAGAACTGGGTTTTATCATCATTTTCTTCGGCGAAATTGTGATGAGTTTATAAAAATAATAATTTCACTGATAACAGTTCGGAAGTTAATTTGATTTGGAGTTCATATCATCTCTGAACTTGAACTGTTCAGATTTTCATTGATTTGTTCATAATTTGAACGGACTGCATTCTCGATGCCTGACATATGCATGCCCCAAATCGTCACGGCTTCGTTGTTCCTTAACTGTTACTACTACCTACTTATCATTTGTCGGCGGAGGTTAACTACAGTTTGGATGGGATTACGTGTGTGGTGGTGTTATAGAAAAATATAATAATTCCTACACAGCCCACAAAACGGGGACGATCGCTTTTGTGTATTGTTGGTTTGAAGAAAGGCAGCTTTCTCCTTTATTAGACTGGACAGAAAGCTTATTGTTAATGACACAAGGCCACTATCCTATGCATATACACACCCATGTTGCAGCAGGTTGGCCAAGGTTTGCTTAAAATTGAAAGTGGCAGTACGCAAGAACCGTTAAACCAAACAAGCAAAAAAAGACACCATGAAACTCTGGTCATAAAAATTCATGGACGGCTGGACGTTCTTTTATCTTCACTTTTATCCTACGTCCTTTTGACACGATATTCTTATTGCGAAGCAAACATTTGCCTATTTGATATTCAGCTTGATTGGGCCTTTAATACCGCATGATGCATGATTGTGTTGAAGCACGTTTGGCTGATTTGAGGACAGAAATATTTAATATAAATAGTCCACACATATTTGTTCTTAAAACCTGTGCAATTGGCATAAAGGTGTCAATCTACGTATACGCTAGCTTAAACCATATATGATGGAATGCCAGGCCTCTAGATAAGTAAAATCAACGCTCTTTTTGCATGGTTTCTACTCTTGTTCAAAATTCTGACGCCGCTTTTGATTATTCGAAATTATTTTTGAAGGAACGGAAGTACATACATCAGCAGTTCTAGCATGAGTGGCTGGCATAAATGAAACGTATGCATGAGTTCGCCACTGTCTGATCCAGCTTCAACCTTTCTTGAGATAGACAACGCCCAGGGGGACTCAATTAGCAAAGGTGTAGTCACCGAATTGCGAATTGCAAAAATATGCCCTCTCATTGCACAATCAACATTTTATGTAAACAATTACCTTGACAAGGGTGCGGCACATTCTACCAAGTATGCATTCGTATTATGCTTCTCGGGGTTTATTTTTCTAAAAAGTTTTCGTCATATGAATTCTACTGTACTCCCACTAACAATAATTTATTTGTCAGTTAATTATTTTTTTCATGTCAAATGTAAAATCCGTACATTATATCACATGCATATGAGATGAGGTTAAATATATATTGAAAATGTTTCACAATCATTTACGTAGCAGGCATATCCAAGAAATAAGTTACATATTCAGTATGCATATTTGCATAAACATACCTTCCGTGATATTGGCTATACATACATAAGTAGAATGTAGCTCTGGAACGAATTGAAACCCAAACGTCATCCTTAAGCGTTTATCGAATTTGTTCTTCAATGTCGAATTAGAGCAATACTAAAAATCGATAAAAGAAGTTTGAAGAAGAAGTGCTTAAGACAGTTAAATAGTGGCACCAGCAGAACAAAGTATTATTGACGTGGCTATCTGAGAGACACGAACTTTGGCAATAACCCATAAATTATTCCGTGTCTCATCATATCCATTCTGCTAACAGGAAGGAACTATTTGCAAATGAAAAGGATAGCATACATTTTTCTTTTGATAAGAAAAACAAGTCCTCCTACTCGAACTAATTTGAGATAATGCGAATCCACGTTTTATAAATCGGCGAAGAGTATGAAGAATTTTTGCAAAATTGTACCGCAGTATGCAAAACTTTTCTTTGTTTCAACACTCGAGAAGAGTATTCATACTAAACCCAACGACACTATAATATGTAACCTAAATACACACTTATGGTTTGCAATATTACTACAGGAAATAATAATTTAAATTGATTTATACATATATTCCGTTTCTGATACTAAAATTGTTTGGTTATCCATGGTGTTATCCTTGAAATTTTGTTACGATGCAAATTCTACTTTGCGACCATAAAAATGGTAATCGAAGAAAATTAATTCCACGAAATCATTAAAATGTTGTTGTGAAGACAGTCAGCATGAAACAGAAAACTCTTTTTGCACGGAGATAAGTACCTCCATATGCAATCCTACACTCGCTCTCTTATAATGACATTCGCCCACAAACCATATTCCAATTAATTGTACAAAGCTTCTCTTCATAATAAAACCTTTTACTTGAATCCTTTTATTGTCTATTAGACAAGGAATTGCAACCCAAGTGAAAGCTGGGGAAACTGGAAGCTTTCATTTGACAGAAATTTGGTGCAAGGCCAACAAAGAAGAAACTCGTCAACATCGAAACAATGTATCGCCGCACCGCGAAATAAGACAAGAATATGAAACAAGACAAAGACCCAAGAAGAAGAAGATCAGATCACAAACTCGTCGTCACTCCCATCCTCCACTCGAAATAAATTCAAACCCCTCTTCAAACCCTGTGGACATAAGTAAGTAAATAAGTATTGATCCACCAGCTCTGAAGGAAGGCCGAGTCTTGATGAATTTTTCGCAACTTTGAAAGCGCCTGAAAATCCACCACGGCCACGAACCATTTGCACATTTAGGCAAGGAAGGAAGCTGATAGGATCATGATCGGAAATGAAAATAAACTCATTTTCTCTTTATCCAATCCTTGGTGGTTGGGATGACGTCCTTTTATGTTTCTATCCCACAGCCAGCAACATTATCCCATTAGCTATACGGGAGCCTAGCAATTCAAAAACTTTCTGAAGATCCGAGAGAGAACCACCAGCAACTTTTCCCGTCGTCCCGAACCAACCAATATGTATTCAGTAATAAGGATCTTGATGGGGAAAAAGAGAGAAAGTTGCTGTGTAACAAGGGTCCGACTGCTCGGGCCTCAACCATCAGCCAGCCAGCAGACCAACAGATGAACTAATGTCCTTTCCTCCTATGCCCACACGTACGGGATGCTGGAACCTCCACGGATTCGACTCTTCGACAACTTCCGCTCGACTCTCTTGCTTACGACACACGACCTTCTCCAGCAGATCTGCTGTGTGTGTATATCTATCTGGAGAGATGGTTGGTGATGAGCATTGTATGTATTGTGATCACATTTTTACTCACTTTTATCCACCACAACCACAACCCGGTCCTACATCTCTCTCTCTCTCTTTATCTATTTATAAAGGACCAGAGGCGAGGGCATAATATTTTCTCATTCACACTTTCCGTCCTTCCACCAGCAAACTTTCTCCTTTCTGTGGTAGTGATTTGATCGAGGAAAACACTTTAGCCAACCAACCACCCTCCTCGTCTGTCCGTTTCTAATCACCTTATTTTTTTCTTTTCCAATCCCATCAATCATTTTATTTCACTTACACCACCAGCCAACAACCTTTCGCCCAGATCAATCTCCCAATCCTCGCGACCATCATCCATCCTTTGGGAGTTGTACATTGATACATAAAAGTTTTTTTTTCTGAGGAGCAGTCCGTGCGTGTGTTGGGTTGGAAGGATGAGAAGTTCCAAAGTAACTCATTTTTCGCGTTTATTATTACATTTTCAAAAAATTCTTCTTCAGAATTCTTAGATTTTTTGAGTATTTCGTAACGTTTGAAAGATTGCGTTGCAAGGAAGGTCGTTGTGGGGCTCCTCACAAGCGAGGCGGAATAAAATGAGGAGATTTTCAGTAATAAACTGTCTTCTCATATTTTGGTTATTTCTTCTCCTCTACATCGGAGTGGCCAGCGAAACTAATCTCTTTCACAATAATCACCACAATAACAGTAACTTTAGTAATCCAGATGTCTACCAAATTGGTGGAGTGTTATCCAGTGAAGAATCCCTTGCAAATTTTACCAGCATTATTCAGGTTGGTTGGTCATTCTTTTACATACAAAAATATGCTCATTCTTTGCAGAGTCTCAATTTTCATTCCAATTTTTAACTTCAAAATGGATTGTTTTCAGCTTTTGAATTTCGATCAACAATATGTTCCACGGGGGAAAACCCTGGTTGCTACCTCTATAAAAATGGAAACGAATCCTATTCGTACCGCCATACGGGTTTGTGATGGTCTTATTAAGCAACAAGTAAGGTTATTTCTTTTAGATTTCGTATAGTTAGACTTTTAGATTCATTGCTGGACTTGAATAATGCATCGCATTCATAGCTTAAAAAAATTCATCCATATTTTTAGGTATATGCAGTTGTCGTGTCTCATTCTCCTAAAGTAGACTTATCCCCAGCCGCCGTCTCGTACACTTCGGGATTTTACCACATACCGGTCATTGGAATCTCATCCAGGGACTCGGCTTTCTCAGATAAGGTAAGTCAATAAGATTTTTTAGTGGTAAATATGCATGGTATTTACACTTTGGAAAAAAATTCGGTGCATGCAAAGTGTCAACTTCGATATTTTAACAATTTCTAAAGATGTTCAACTATTTGCATTTTTAACAGAATATCCACGTTTCGTTCCTACGAACCGTCCCTCCATACTCGCACCAGTAAGTTTACTTCATTTTAAGTAAAACCATATATGTTTTTTACTTGTATTAATTTATTGCTGTCTTTTTTTGCTCCAGGGCGGACGTTTGGGTGGAGATGTTGAAGCACTTTCACTACGAAAAAGTTATCTTTCTCCATTCTTCCGACACCGATGGGCGATCTATCCTGGGACGCTTTCAGACAAATGCTCAGAATCTTGAAGACGACATTGAAATTAAAGTACACAAACCTATTGGAAATTTTCGTAAAAATAGTGAACCTTATATGAAAATATTGAATTATCTACAGATTGAGATGGTGATTGAGTTGGAGCCTGGAAGTCGCAGTGATAATTATAAAGCAAAGCTCACAGAGCTTCGCAACGCCCAAGCCAGGGTCTACCTCCTCTATGCAAGGTACCGTTGTTGATAAATACAGTCATATTATAATGTCCTTGCTACACATGTTTAAGCTTTTTTATCACAATACAGCAACGAAGATGCTCATGAAATATTTGATGCAGCATCGTCACTCTCTTTAACCGATCCAGGACATGTGTGGTTCCTAACAGAACAATTACTCGAATCTCCATTTATTCCTCAAGGTTCAATTGGCCTCAAATTGGTGAACGCTGGCAATGAGACGGCTCACATCATGGATAGTTTGTAAGCTAATTTAGCCACGAAAATTATAATGCTAATTGTTTTTGTTTTTTAAAGTCAAATGATACTAAATTACTTGTATATTTAATCGCGTAGAAGAGTGTTAGCTGTATCGCTTAAAGAGATGGACAAAAATGAAGCGATTCATGAAGCTCCAAGAGAATGCAATACGTCAGGGACCACCTGGGAAACTGGGAAGATGCTCTTCGAGTGCGTCAATAAGTCTTCATGAAAAGAAACTTGAAACATGCCGAAGATTTCCATTTTTAACAAGTGAAAAATTATGTTTAGATACATCAAGAAACAAGAATTTCTCAACGGAGAGACGGGGAAAGTCGCGTTTGACGAGAGTGGAGACCGTATGAATGCAGAATACCACGTAATGAATGTCCATCCCGGAGGAAAGGTGGCGAGAGTTGGACAATATTTCTACTCTTCAGTAAGTTCGAGATGCAAATATTGTAGCAAAACCAGACTTGGTTTTTAGTGTGTCATTGGAAATTGTCATTGCTCAGGGAAAGAAACAAATGGACCTCAAAATAAACGATAGTGCCATTGTGTGGCCTGGAGGTGCACACTCCAAGCCTGTGGGATTTATGATTCCAACACATCTTCAGGTTCTGACAATAGAAGAAACGCCATTCGTCTTCGTGCGACGGGTTGAGTCCTACACCGATTGTCGCAGTGACGAGGAGCCTTGTCCACATTTCAATACAACAGAAACCGGTAATTATTCGACACGAATATTTGTGCGGTATTTTGAATATTTTTTTGCACGTGTTTACATATGCATTACAACACTGTTTAGTTTGAATGACGTCAATGGTATATTTTTGTGTATGTTACTCAACAGATTACCCTGTGATGTACTGCTGCAGAGGCTACTGCATCGATCTTTTAAAGCAGTTGAAGTTAAAGATGAACTTTACTGCGTCCCTTGCACTTTCACCAGACGGGCAGTTTGGCAGTTGCGTTCAAAAGAATGATACAGGTTGGAAATTCGAGGACACATTTTTAAGGAAATTAATATTCCAAATTTTCTTACTAAGGTTATAATAAAAACAATATTTTGTAGCAAAGAAAGAGTGGACCGGGCTCATTGGCGAGCTGGTAACGGAAAGAGCGGATATGATTGTTGCACCTCTTACAATTAACCCAGAAAGAGCACAAGTAATAGAATTTAGCAAACCTTTCAAGGTAATCATACAGTTTTTACTTAATATTATCCACCGAAAATAACTCGATCAAGCTGCTTTCCCCTCTTCAAATCATAACACACCACCTCAAAATTCCTAACTTCTTCATAATCTATTTCGAGTGAAATTCATTTATAACATTTTTAAACGTAAAACTGTCCTGTTATTTGTTTTTTCAGTATCAAGGAATCACTATTTTAGTAAAGAGAGTAAGTCATAAATACCTTTGAATATGTGTCAAAATTGGCATACAATTACTGAAAATAATCAAGTAACGTTGCCTCGCAGAAAGAGAAGAAGCCCACATTCGGCTCTTTTCTCCAGCCTTTCCGAGGATCCCTCTGGATTCTGGTGATGGTTTCAGTCCACGTCGTGGCTCTGGCCCTCTACCTCCTGGACCGATTCTCTCCGTTTGGTCGGTATCGTTTGGCGAATATGGAGGGCACTGAGGAGGATGCTCTCAACCTTTCGTCAGCCATTTGGTTCGCGTGGGGAGTCCTCTTGAACAGTGGGATTGGCGAAGGTACATAAAATTATATGTACTCTCACGAACACGGTCGTAGTTATTTAATCATCGCATCGAGATGATTAAGTTTATCCATCAAAAACAGTCATGTTGGTGCTGATGCATTGTCTCGCAGGATAATATAATACTTATTATTATTCCCGAGTGTTTGAGTATTCAAATCCGTTTCACTCAAAGTGAGGCTGCTTGTGCTTGATTGTTTTTCATGCATATATTTTCTCTGGATACGTAGGAACTCCTCGCAGCTTTGCAGCGCGCGTCCTGGGGATTGTATGGGCAGGTTTTGCAATGATAATTGTGGCGTCGTACACTGCCAACTTGGCTGCTTTCCTCGTGTTGGACCGACCGAAAACAATTTTCTCGGGGATTCATGACAACAGGGTACGTATCACTGTTTTATACCCTTGTGTGTGTCCGCTCATTAGGATTACGGGATAATTAATGATGGGAATGTCTCTTGACATTATGTACAGTTGAGGAACCCGGCAGATAATATCAACTACTCGACTGTCAAGGGGTAGGCACCTATTTATGTTCTTCTCTCGTTAAACTTCACTGCCTATATAACCTTTCCTCCTCTTGTGCCCGGACAGATCTGCCGTTGACATGTATTTTCGGCGTCAAGTGGAACTGTCCAACATGTATCGTGTCATGGAACGCCGCAACTACGACACGGCTCAAGAAGCAATCGATGCTGTGAAAGCTAGGTGAGTGAATATTTAATTTTCCAGAGAGCAGTCGTGGTGACATGGTGTGACGTAAGTAAAACATGTTCGCAAATTAAGATATTGAGCTATGAAACGCTGACTTGATTCAATCGAATCATCGCATCTTGTCTGGTTTTATGTACGGTCTGTGTGGCAATCAACCCACTCCTACGTACAATTCGGTCGGTTGGCTTACTCTCAGTCAGTCTGGTGATGCAAAGTTTACGTCTTACTTTGGGACACCATATTATTATTAGTGCACATCAACCTGATTAATTGCCATTTCCCTCTCTCTCACATAAAGTGAGTGATGATGCAATCGTATCCTGATTGCTATTGTAGATTCCAATTTCGATTTATTAACTGCTTCTCGTCTTCAAATCATGCCATGCAGTTAGTCGTTCGTCCTCCTTCTTGGTCACAACTGCTCATCATAATATCCAATTGCGAATGAACCCTGATTAAACCGGAAAGCGTGCTCGCATCAATTATATATGCAGATCATATGCGCAGATAGCATGCAAAATAATTAAAAATATCATGTACGTAGCATGTTCGCATGATGGTTAATTTTTTTACCCCTTGTCGATACTCCGCCACCGACCCACACAAAGTCAGATACACAGCATTTTCAACGAGTTTGCTAATTTCCTATGGCAAGGATATCAAAGAGTTGTTGGCTGTTGAGCAAGTTGGAATTAGGCGTCCAGTTCCTTTCATCGCGAAAGTGAAAGCGCAAACAGCGAAGAATGTGCACGCATAGGGGAGGAAGGACTGATAATGGTGGTGTAGACGACGTCTCATTCTCATCATATCTCATTACCACAGTTTGTTTTGTTTTCATATCTTGTTCACGATCCCATTCACGGCTCAGTGGCGCAAGTGGACTTGAGTTTTGTTGATAAAGCATGATTTCCCACTTAAATGATTCCCAGCGTGCTTATGTACGATCCTGTACTTTCTCCATTCTGCTTTCTCAGCACCTTCTCATCTAGATCAGACACAATGCAGTCATGACCACGGGTGGCATCTCACTCTCACTGGCGCTTTGTTTGCTACGTGTGTACAGCCCGAGTTGCTGCCCTCACTGTCAAACGACGCTCCTTTATACCCAACCTACATATTTACTGTAAATCATGTTTGTACTCCACCCACACTGGGTACATATATTCGTTTACTACTGAATCAGGACCTCGTTTTGAATGATGCATTAATCACAATACTACCTCCTTGTCCTCCTCTTCTTATACAATTTGGTATGATTTGGGCTCCGTAGTCAGACCAATTGTTTAGCCCTGGGAGAAAGTAGATATTTACAGTCTGCACAAGTTTACTACTGATGGGAAATATAATCATTTAGACAAAACGGTACGATTAATCGTTCACTGGGCTTATCCTCCTTCTCAACTTGGGTGGGATAGTTCTATTCATATGTTGACTGACCCAAACTTTTTGCAGCATTGTTGTTACTTTTCGCAATAAATACGACAGAATTGCGTTGTGGCGGGGTGGCGTTGTTGGTTTTTAAGAAGAATAGATATACAGTCTTCTGGAGATAAAATTTCCGTGACACTTGTGAAAAATCTCGGCCATGTATTCGCTTAATAATTTAGAATGCCAAGTCAAGTTATTTCTGTATGGGGAGCAGGCCCAGTCATTTGTTTCTTTGTTTCAGCGGGATGAGATAAGTCTGAAACGTTTAAACAATGCCTTTCGCTTCTTCTTGAGTAATAAGAAACTAGGGAAGAATTCCACTTTCGCTTCCAGCACAAGTACATACGAAGTACAGCCAAGGCTTCCTAAATCAGCATGCATACGCCACACCACGGCCGAGCGTCTGTTATGATGGGAAAATGTATTGTTGCAGATTTCCCTAAGTACCACATCTGCTCTGGCTGCGCACTGCATCTACAGGGATCGAGGCAATTCAAAGTCCACAAAGTGGGATATGATGCGGCGACATAAATAAATGAAGATGTGCTTAACGTTCATAGTCACATGAAAAATTCGACGGTGCACTTATCACTAGGCGAGATTGGTGTGCTCCATCCATGTTCTTCTGTTCTCGCTAATGAAATTTTTATGAGTTCACTCACGCTTTGCATAGGCAAGGCAAACAAAAGCAGAAATGACCAATTTTCCTCGGGATGATCATCAACCGAACCACAACGTTCCAGTTGTGTGCGACGACCATACGATGGTGGTATCGTATCGTGGAATGACAACTGCTGTACTACTTTCAGACACAATGTTGCACATAATGTTGCAAGTTTACCATAACAGTTTTAAGAAAAAAGTCCAAGACAAATTTCAGAATTAGCTAACGATTTGCTGCGGGAAATTCCATGTTAGAGTAGAATTTTTAAGTAAAAAATTATTCAGGGTTCTTCTGCATATATTTACATACGAGTAAGGAAAGTTGTTATGAATTGAAATTCTGCAAACTGTGTCCACCGCACGTGTTGCAATTTACTGGCATTTGGGACATTCTAAAACTTGTTCAAGTGACCAGTAAAATTGGGTAGAAAAGTAATAATTGTACTCCACTGCGGATTTGGCCGAGTGAAAGGCACCATTTGTTGCGGTCCGTCGGTTCGATGAAATTTTCATATTCATGCTGCACATTAGCCATATTTATCGTTATCATTTGATTTTACTCGCAAATTCCTGCTTTTAAACACCACCACATACCAACAAACCTAAACCAAGTGTGGGGCCTGTGAAACTTACGAAGTGACAAATTATGTAAATTAAAATGACATTATGCTTGTGGTAATGCGGTATCTGTGTGTGGTATCAGACCAGCTTCGCCGTTTGGGTGTTTTAAAAAATATGGAAAAATGCTGATATCGTGTAGCAATTGATGAACATCATTTATTTATTGTGACGAAAAAGAGAAAGCTTGAAGTATCCTGCTTCCTGGAAAAATTGGAAATTGTTTTTTGATTGATCGTACTTTATATAAGGAATTTTATTCATTTTTCATTCCAGCACACTGGACGCTTTCATCTGGGATAGCTCAAGATTACAATATGAAGCAGCTCAAAATTGCGATTTGATGACTTCCGGTGAACTATTCGGACGGTCCGGATATGCCATCGGGCTTCAAAAGGGTTCACCCTGGGCTAATGACGTCACTCTGGCCATTCTGGAATTAAGTGAAAGTAATATCCATCTCTCTTTTGTGTGCACGAAATTATAGCAAAATTTGATTTGTGAATAATAACGCATCATCATCATCAGAAACTCGACATAGTTTGGTCGTTGTCCTCCTTTTACAATGGCCTTTTTCACAAAAGGATGATGGCAGCGAGTCCACGCACACATTTTATTTAAGCGAAAATGTAATCCCAATGGGGGCTGTTTTTATACCCCGCGTTCGGAATTCTAAGCAGTAAAAACATAAACCGTGGCAGACTGCTAAGCTCACATAATTCCACCAACTGTCCAGAAATCGCACTAGCAAGAAATCGTATAGATTGTTAAAAAACACATCCACAACCATGCAATTTAGTTGAGCTTCGCCCCACAATTCTGCATGCTCTTCTTTCACACAGTCTCTGATTGTATGTATATCAGGGTGAAAATTGTTCAAGAAACTTCATCTTTATTGGTAGCAGTAGTAAGCTGTGGTTTTTCCTTGGTATGCGGTTTTGCTCAATTCTCCTGGCACAACAAGGCAACAACTCTCTGCTGCATATTTGCTACATCGAATAAATACGTGTAGGCATAGCTCAATACGAACCCAACGACCTGCATGTTACACCCAAACACAGCAGGTAGTCGGACAGATAGAAATGTTGGCATAATTCGTTAACATGCAAGAGAACGAGGCAGAGAGATTCATTTGGCGTCTGATCAACCAGGCATGTCCAAGTTCGCTCATTTCCACTTTCACTCCCGGATTTCTACTACTACAAGATCACAATCTCATTTATCGGAATATTGCTGCAATACATCTAAACCTCATTAATAGCTCCACAGGGACAGGGACATGGGTAGGGAGTAATGGCACATGTTGTAAATTGGTCGTCGTCATCGGAAACAAGAGGTCCGAACGATGTCTACAATTTATACGGTCAGAGGAAATTATAGGATAGGCGATGGCTGACTGACGGACTGAAACTATGCAATCTTTTGCCGTAAATGTTCCTCGATAGGAGAACATGTCTTGAACTGCTGGTCGAATTGCTCTGTCTGTCGGTCCATACGAGCAACAGCACAAAACACTGGCTCCTTTATGCCGTGAGGATAAATGGCATCAATTTATCTTCAGCCAAAGCAAGGAGACGTCCGCGTTCAAGCAGCAAACTTTCCATTGAATTGAAATGCGATTTGAACAGCATGGTCACAATTTATATGCTGCGAATTTAGCGTGGATGTAGGTATATGTAGGTTGCAATTTTCCGTGTTTTATTTCTCAAAGTGAGGTCCTATGACATTTTTGAATCGTATAATTTTGTAATTTCATGAATTTTTGTAAATATTTGTATTGCGACATTCGGACATTAGTGTCTCGAGTAATAGGAAATACGTCAACAATGAAATCACAAAACCATTACCCACACTCACGCATGATGACCCCACTTTTTGAGTATATACGGCCCATAGGAAGTCTTTAGATCAAACAGTTGTACATTAAATTTGATTGAACATAAAATTTTTATCCTGCCCTATGGACGGCAACAAACGCTCACATCCTCGAAAAGTACACAAATAAACTTCAGTGCTGTAAAAGGCTTGAATAAGGCGCGTGCTTTTAGTAAAGTCAGTAAATTATAATTCAAATTGCCCAGAATCAATAAAAACGAACTATTGTAGGTATTTATGTCCCAATAGATAGGAAAACAATTAGATTAATAGCAAGAAATTTAACAGCTCTGGACAAATTGCTTATAAAATGAGGCAGATTGAAACCAAATTGGCTACAAACTTTTATAATACGGGTTATCCAATGGTCCAAAATTCCAGAATAAATTAGATTCTAATTTACTGACTTTACTAATCGGACGCGCCTTTCTTTGGGAGTAGTGACGCGTGTTGACAGCCATTTAGGCCGCCATCAAAGATGTTGAACGAGGCAATTATATTGTCAATTACATATAATGTTTCTCCCCGAAATAGGTGGATTTATGGAGGAACTGGACAAGAAATGGATCATAAATCCGGAATTGATTACAAGTGAGCGATCCAAGATATGTCAGACGGAGGAGAAAATCCCCACAACACTGGGCCTGGAAAATATGCATGATGCTTTCTACCTCATTGCTGCCGGTATGTGTACCGTTTTTACTTCCTCAAGACACTCAAAACGTTAGGCGAGGAAATGGCCCATTTCTTGGCATCAAAGTCGCCTTGGTAATTCCTCCAACGGCGAAAGTGCAGTGGTCAATGTGTGGACACGATAATTTTAGAAAATTCCCCTCAAGCACACGCTCCTCCATTATAGCAACCATAATAGTACACACTTTTGATGGGATGGCGTTTCTCACAGTCCTTTGCGCAATCACAAAGAATGGGCCGAGTGTAAATGAGGTTTTTTCTGCTTGAGCAACGCTGGTCGTCATCGTCGTCGTCCGAATGGACAATTATCATAACTCTTTCCTTTCATTCTTATCGCACTAAAATTAGTCCATGCTTCTGAGTCCCATCAGAGGGATTTGTCACAACCCTCTTCTTTACTTAAGCTGACGTCGTAACAGTTTTGAACTAAACGCTACCTCATTACTTTCCATCTCCTCTGTCACTGTTTGTATGTGAGGAGACAGCCAAGATCAACCAACCTGCCATAAATCCCATTCTCAATTTACTCTCTCCTACACACGATGTACTCGAGTGTACTCTATTTTTGGACTGCAAACTTTATATTACATGGATGAGAAAGAATTAAAAGTCTACAAATGTTGACAGGAATCCTGGGAGGGTTGGTGCTCATTCTCATTGAAATCTTCTACAAGAAACATCAATTGAAGAGGCAACGTCAGTTGGAAATTGCCAGGCATGCTGCAGAAAAATGGCGAAATACCTGCAGGGTGAGTTACAATACATAATAATAATGTTGTAATAAGTTACAGTGTTTAGTTCTTATGTGTGCTTAGCTTATCTTCTTAGTCAATTAATATCCTTGTCCATTATCATCACCTCCTCCTTCACAAAATGCACCAACAAAAGCTCATGTTGTGAGTGAAAGCACGAATGAGTTGAAATGGAATTATTTTTTGATGAGTAATTTCATCTCTCCGCTTTTGAAGTTGTGGAGATGAAAGGGAAGCCTAAAAAATCTGGGTAATCCTTCCCCCATTATGTTATAAAAGGTCAATTATGAAAATAGGTTGATACGTACGTAATGTAGCGAATTACGTATGCGAGACTACCTGCAAACAGCTATCTTTCATCTTTCTACCGTTTCATCTGTAGTTCTTTCTCTCTTCTTGTTCAAACAATTACGTACAAATAGATGAGTTTAGGGCTACTTTTACTGCATGAATACTTTAATTACATAAAATGCAGTCTTTTTTTGGATTGTTTTGTGTGATCTTTTTTAACTTCCCTCTATTCTGCACTACATTTGCAAATATACTTCATTTATTAGTTCTGCTGATAAGAAAATTGATACATGTACGTGTATTCATGTAGGGTGTGGAATTGTGATTGAGTTGCACTTACAATAAATATCCTAGAAAAGACGGGAAATATGAGAACTATAAGATTAAGATGTATGGATTCATTTCCTAAATAGCCAGGAAAGTAGAGTTGGATGCAACGTGTATCATTCACTGCATCCAGAACGTACATAATACATAATACCGCATACCGTGACTATTCCGACCTCTTTAGAGTTAATTGAGTTAAGAGTCTTATTATATAAGCAACATTGGTTGTTGCACCACTTGATTCATCCGCGGCATACATAAAACTAGTCTGTGCACTATGATGTCTAAGAATTAAGTGGATGGAAAACAGGTCATAAATTTATCTTCACATAATTGGGATTCAAAACATGGAAGGAATTGAAAATGCGAAAATCCCTCTGCTCTTCTTCATTTGGGCAAAATCTAATTTGATGTTGGAAGGAACCCAACAGTGTAGTTATGCACATACATATATTTTGTAGCATGCCAACATTTACTGCATAGGTACTTTGGTTTGAATACAACTTATGAATTTATTACATCCGCATGCAATATCTCGTCCACAAAAGTATAACAGTAGCAGGGTGTTGGAAATGTGAAGTAATTGTTCGTCTCTCTATCTATCTCTCTGGCCCAGTAACCGTAAAGTAGTGTTGTTTAAAATGGCCAAGCTCTCAAGTATCTCCATGACTCGTCTCAAGTACGAAAACGGGAAAGTAGAGCAACTAGCAAAAGTCAGGTTGTACAAAAACACTTGAAATGTATGGTTAAGTCAACTTTGAGCCCATTTTAATCCTAGCAATTCTACTCCAATTGAAGACTAATGACAAAGACTGATTACTTGAATTGGGAAATTTAGTATTCCAAACCAGCCAAGGAAGCAGTTCCACCTTGCGGCAAGGTCCCTGCCGTACATACCTTCTCCGTAATAAGGTTATCTTTCGGGTAGGTGTAAGGCGTCGGAATTGGGCTGCACAAGGTGATTTTCAAAGTGAGCTAGCTGTTCGAATATGAAGCAATAAGCACGGAATACGGAAGCAGAGTAAGGAAAACTCCTTCCCTGAGCCAACAATGTCTTCATTTTAAAAATTTGAAGTGCAATGAATGAATACCATTACAACTTCCTATAGACGCTATTTTGGCTTTTGGTAAATCGGTAAACTTGCCGGTTTGGTATGGACTCGTGTCATTTAATTCTGATCATGTCCATGGACAGGCAAAACTGCACCTTTGGAATACAAATCTTGAAAACTTTACCACTCAAATTTTATTGGCTTCGATGAGTCCATAAAAGTTGCCCGGCGAGGGTGGAATTTGTTTAGAAGGAGTGAAGGTCGTCCAAAAGACTTTTCCTTGCGCTTCGGATTCTCCTCACAGGAAAGGTAACTCAATTAGGCCAGTGATCTATGAAAATTGGAAACAAGCTAAGTCAAGTAAATAACATGTGATATGTAGTGCAGGCTGCTTCAATTACCAATTGGTGAACTGGGCACGGAAACTTGATCAAACTTTCCAAGTAACAAAAAGTAGCAAATTACAACAACTTTCTTCTTGAGCATTATAGGTGTACATACATATATTTATTTATTAGTATGATCGGATTACAGAGTACAAACAATGGATAGGAATATGAATGCTGCAGAGTACACTGCTTTGTACATTCGAGCAATAGTTTTCTATTTTCGCAAGAGCAAGAATCATCATTATGAAAAGTAAGGAATTTCATTAATTTCTTGTAAAGAAAACTTGACAAATATGCAGTGTCTGCTGTTGTTTGTCAGTCCCCTGCACTGTATCATCTGGATCAGTCAGTCAACATGAGCCAAGTCAAGTCTTCTCCTTTTGATGAAAGCTCGACGATATTCATTTCATTAATTTCGTGAAACAATGCGGCCGCTACTCCAAAAATAATTGATACACCATCCGGCACATCCTGACGCTTTAGGAGGTCGTAAAAGTGTCATTATTTAGGGTCACTCAAGTAATAATAGGATTGCATAGTTTGGATGATTAAGGAAATAGTATAATGGCGTGATTAATTGCTGGTCTACGAGAGAGAGAGAGGCATTTCACGTTATATTTCATATGCTAAACCTTCTATTTTAGATATATGCACATATCTGCACGAGCCGTTCCATGCATTTTTTGAAGGAGAATAAGTGAATCACATTGACGCACCGTAATTTAAAATTAAGACGCTAAAGAATTGTACAATACCTTTGTCCTGTTTTCTATTCGTGTAGTACATGGACATTTGAGCAGTGGTGGATGTATTTTAGTGGTGGTAGTAGCATTATGTATTGTACGAATTCTATTGTGACAGAGCTATATTTTGCAAGAATGTTGGGGAAAGTAGAAGAATGTGTGAAGCTGGAGAGTAAGTTGGAGGTGAAAGTGCAAGTACAATGGGAAGTCGGAGCTGACTGGAATCCAGAGTGGAGATGATTATGTTAATGCATAATAATGAACGAGAAAACCAGAGGCTGCTTCTATAGGTGCATGGTTTGGAGGTGAGGTACTCTCCAGCCAGCCCTCATCTTCTGGAAATTTGAATTGTGAGAAACACAAGAATAGTTTCACACAAAACTTTCCACCGTCGTTCGTCGTCTTGAATTCGTCGTCGTCGTCGTCGTCCAATGTCAAAAGTGGAAAGCTGCCTTTAATCCCAAAATCAAGAGGCACAACCTTCTCTTCCATCCAACACGACTTGAAATGTTGGTGGGTGGGTTGGTACTTATATCCGCATGCAAAGCTCGAAAGTAGAAACAGGAGAGAGTAAAGTGATGGCGAATTTAATGATTTTTTCAAAGGAAGGAGGGGAAGGATTTTTCCGCACACACGGAGAAAGAGCAAAGTGAAGCTTTTTATGTACTTGACATAAATGGCAGTACGGGTGCATTTATACGACGGCAAGTGATTGCGTCGATAGTGTTTAGCTGTATCTGTGCTGTGTGGCAGAATTAGATCGTAGCGTATGGCAGCCGGCCGTCCGTAATGTCTGTAATGGTACTGAACATCATAGCATTCACGACTGTACTGGTAAATAGGTGGGTGGGTGTATCGGTCGGGTGCATACGTGTGTATGTGCCTCCTTAGTTTACCAGTTGGACCAACACCACCACCACCACCAGCAGCCGTCGTCGTCGTCGTAGTGCAAGATCAGGTAAACTTTTTGCTCACGGTCGGATTAAAGGGAACAAGGGAGAAAAAGTCAAAGTTAATGAAGTTTAGTGAAGTCAGTCATCCGGTAAATAAGTTCCTTCATTTTTAATAACAAAATCACACTCCACTAACAAAACCATCTTAACCAAATATTGTTGAAATGAGAAGAAATGAAATATAAATATATATGAAATATATATATAAGAAATAAAATATATTGTATAATAATTTCCATCTACTAATCCTCAACCCTCTCCGTTTTTGATTTTTTTGTTGGTTGTGGATCTTCCTCACCCTTTCTCTTCCCTGGCTCACTCAGCCAGCCTAGCTCATTGAGAAAGTTGACCGTGGCTGTGGTCATCTTGGAAAAACTCATTTCGAATTTAGCCCTCAGTCCGTCTTCGCAATTTATCAGACGCAGTTCACTTTTCTGTCCTTTGAATACACATTCTGCTTCAGTCCATCGTCGCATGGCGTATTTTAAATCATGACCAACAGAGTCGTCGTATCCATATATCTCAAGTGGAATTGCTTTCTTTGGGTCAAAGTCCCACCCTTTTCCCCCATCTTCCTCTGATCTTAAAAGTTCCGTGTAGGAACATCCAAGCGTAGTTTCTGAATTAATGTTATTCAAGTTCATAGAACGTAGTACATCAGCAGCCACAGTAACATCTCCAGATGATGTGTAATCTATCGAGATTGACTTTATTTTTCCTTCCTTCGTCCAAATAATAAGGTAAAGTTGAGTGAGCACACCTGGAGAGGAAAAGTATAAATAAGGTTAAATACATGCAAAATATTGAGGCATGTCATTACTTTTATTTTTACCTAATTTGTCTGATGGGGACCATTTTCGGATTGTAATTTTCTTCATTCCAGCCTGTCTGACATAAATGTCATCACCACTGGTAAGGAAAATGTGGTCGGCATTTTGGTGTCTATCTCGATTCCAAGGAATAGTGAAGTGCATGTCACAAATATCACACTTGTAGGGCTTGTCAACTAAAACATGAATAAATATTAATGAAATGTCGCAACAATTACTTAATGAAATGCACGGACATACATAAATGATCAGATTGGACATGATCTTTTGCTGACTTTTCGTCCCTGAATCCTTTATTGCAAATCTTGCAAAGCCACCTCTTTGTACCATGGCATGCTTGGTAATGTTGTATGACATTTGAAGGTGCCTTAAACGTTTTAGCGCATGCAGGACACTTGTTCGTAATGGATTTGTCCTTCCATCTAGCCCGTATCTCAGCTTCAATAGTAGTGTCGATGTTGTTTTCTTTTATGGAATTCTCTGGCGTAATCTCTTCCAGATCCGTTGATTTTTCGTAAAACTCCATCTACAAAGGTCAAAATCATCCCATGACACAATACAATATAAAAGATCACTGGAAATTACCACATTGCGATGCTTATTGATTTCTGAAGGTCTGATTGTGACGTTGCTGTCACATTTCGCAAAAATGTTTTCCAGCAACTTTTTGTACATGTCTCGTTGAAACTTGATTTTCAGAAATTCTTGATCCTCTGAATCACTGGGGTCACGTCGTCTAACTTTTGACAACGACATTTCGATTTTTTTAAAACACACGATGGATGTGTTTGTCGATTCCTATAATTCCTACTCTTTTCTTTTCCTGTTTTCACTCTATCTGTAAAATTTCTCCGCCAGTTCTTATCCAATTTTAATAATTTGTTATATACTTTTAAAATACGCAATGGATTCGATTAATCTGTTATCTGACATAACCTCTCCAATTTTGAGTAGGCATGTAAATTAATATGAAATTTTACAGAGAGAATGAAAACAGGAAAAAAAGCAAGCGAGGAAGTGGTGAGTGCGAGGGTGGTTGTGAGAAGGCGGAGTGGTTAGGTCATTGACTTTCTCAGAAAATATGCAATTTTTTCACCTTCAACCTTAAATAACTCGGCGAATTATGCACAATGCTCAAGTGCCAAACTAATGTATTGAGTTTGTGTGTAAAGATAACGGTAAATAAGTAATAGCTGGGGAGTCTACTTTAATTTCATACGTTTGCTTGCTCACCACTACTGTGCATCTCACTACTCTTATTCCTTATTCTTATGTCCTGGCAGCAGGGAGGCATCGGTCGGAGGTGGGTTGCTTGGTTTGTAGGCATTTCACCGGCTCCTTTTTATTTTAATATATTCATCGCAGAGTGCTCCCTTTCTCTCCTCGGCACAAATTGTCAGACCAGCGAGCAACTTTCTCCTCCTCCTCCAAAATTCAAACAGCTCACAGTTCATACACGAATTTTAATTTTGCATGAGATAACTTTTCCATTGTAGTGACGACGGAGAGGGGCAGAGAAGTGGGGCTGGGATTATTATTCCCACTCTTCGTTAGTTACTCTTTTTTCGGCCCAGAAATAAATAGCTCTGCCTTCAGCTTTCGGGTTAATATACGTTACCGATTATTTCTCCTGATATATCACATGCACATAAATATGTACATATGTCTGACTGCCTGCTTTGGCTACGTGGTTTCATCCCCTCCTGCGTCATGTACGTATCACTCGCTCACTCCTCGAGTGAAAGTCCAGTGAAAGGGAATATCTACCAAATCCATCCTCTTCTTCTGTCATCCTGCAAAATTCATGCATGATGCAGTTTTCTAAATATTCTATTTTTACCCAACACACGGTGCAGCACGAGTTCAAACTTTCTGTTGGGCCAATTTTAAAATCCGTGGGAAGGGAACGACGACGACTTCCAAATATATGTACGAGATAAATTACGTAGGCGGTCGTAAAAAGTAGGATGCATGGAAATGAGAGGTGGTAGTGATGGTGGTGGGGTTTTGTTGAATGTGGTTTTCAGAGTCAACTCAACTACAACTTTTTATACGTCTTTTTCCTCTTGATTAGCACACGAGGTTTGAATGATAATTACTCATTTTTGGTTCCTCTCCTTCACTTTCACTTTCCACCTCTTCTTTTTCTTCCAATCAGAATTTAATTCCGTTTCACCTTTCCGGTGGAAACTTAAATTGCTCTTCCAGTCAAATCCCACAAAACTGTCACTCATTTCACTCTCTCGCCCCATTAACTTGCCACTTTCCATGAAAGGCATGAGAATGATTATGGCTTCCGTCAGTCATTTTCTCCACCTCCATTTTCTCACCTTTTCTCCCGTCATGTCCATACCCCTCATACTCAGACCGGATGGGTTCCCATCCTTTCTTCCCTTCCCACAATTCCATATCGTTTTAAGGGTCGCATGAAGGAATTGTCCTCGTTGGGGTTATGTTTCTTCCTCTCAAAAGAAGAAGAAGAAGAGGAAAAAATGGCCCAAAGTTATGCGCTCAATGATTGACATTTTTATTGACACTTTTTGAAATGCATACTCAAACAGCTTTACGTACTCTTATTGTGCAACACGTTTCCCTTTTTCAGCAACGGAAGCTAGATCGAAGCCTTGAACGTCGCTTCAAAGAGAACGGACCACCACCGTTTTGGACGCCAGGACTGGATGTGAGGCAAAGGTCACCCATCGCATCAAAGGCAAACACAATTTTCGTTTAACAAGTTTCTCTTAACTCTTCCTTTACTGACGGGATGTCCGTCCCCAGCAGCATTTTCACTGAAGTACTACCTCTCTGATGACGGGACAAGTTGTTTCAAACCGAGAAACAGTGAAAAAATGGAACTTTTGTTCATTGTGACGGTAACGGTATTCAAAATTTCAGTTTCAACCGGAAGATGAAAAAGTGCAAGTCGATGGTGCTCTGAGAAAGAAACATAATTTATTACAATTCTACTTTTAACGGTGCTGAATACTAGCCAGGTTAAATTGAAGTCGGAAGAGTCAGAACTGCCGATGAGGGTATATGCAAATATAGATAAGTAGAGAGATAGTTGGACACGGTACGTACACTTTTACTACTAAATATTGTCAGGCAACAATAAATGTGTCATGTTTTAATGTATTGTTGTTACATAAATGTATGTAGGTAGACTTGTAGGTGTTGTTGTTGTTCTTGTTGTTGTTGTTGTTGAATGAACTGAAATAATAATGTTGTTCATGACAAATTTGTGGAAGAAGAACCATAATAATGTAATCCTCCGATTGTTACAAAACTCGTATAATAAGTACATTCATAACTCATCACACTACTCACTCGTTAGCGTCGTCGTTGTCGTCGTCAACATACAAACTCCTCCCTGACAGTGCAGGGATATAATATGTAGTGCATAAAAAATAAAAATTCTACACTTTTGACTCGAAAAACATAAAATAATAACTCAAAAATATTAATGTTGCAGGATTACTAAATAATCTTGTAAAGTTTGCAATTGCGTAGACGCACCAAAGCTTTGTATTCCAGTTTTTGATTAACAGAAAAGTTTAATAAATAAATATGCAATCTGTACAGTCGCTGCTGGTGTAAGATTAATACTTACTTGTAAGCGACGGTTGAGAAGAGTAATTGTGTCTGACTTGTGAAAACATTCATTTCAAATGCATACCACTTTCTCCTCGGTAATCGCGAAGCATACCGTCGTCTCGTAACCTTTGCACCAAAACCACCAGCAATCTGCAATGAATGGAGAAACAAAGAGAGGAAAATGTCGACTTTGGTGGCGTATTTATGTCTGTCTGCTGCAATAAAGGGAATTCTGGTGGAGAGTTTAGAGGGGAAAAAATGAGGGAATGTGAGGTCAAAAAATCTCGCCCAATTCTTGACTTGCACCACGAACAGAAGGGCCAGACGACGAGTTGAGACGACGGTTGACGTCGTAGTGGGGAAAAGTGGATAAGGTTTCTTTGTGGCTGTCGTTACCTTTTCATGAATCATCTAAATTGGATTCAACAACGGCTGCTGCTTTCTCCGTCGGAAGGCAGGGTCAACCTGAGATGGGAGGAATGAGCTAACTGTCCACTTTCGCTGGCTTACGATGCAAGTTGCGAGAACCATTTAAAAGGCTTATGGCTATTAAGAATTTGATTTATTTCCTAAAAGTTCCCCTTCTTAAGCTGATAATTCCGAACGTACTACTTTTTCCCTCCCCGTGTAAATACTAAAACTCTATTGGATGCTGGTGACGTAAAATGAACAAGAAATAAATGATTATTCAATTCAAGTACAGTTACAAGTCTTTTGGGTGTGAGTTTACCAGTTGCGAATATAGTAATCGCAGTTTATTTTGATATTCACTGGAATTTTGTGGTTATTCGCCAATACAAAAAATACATCAAGACAAAATTTTGGCTAGCTAATGAATTCTAGCATCAGTGGAAATTATACATCACGACATAAATTTTACATAATGCGTAAAAATAAAACGAGCGTTTCTGGGTGTGAGTTACACGGGGTTCGAAAATAGTATTGAATTAAACTTCATAAATTATATTATCATCTTCAAACTTGTATCGCATAATTTTCTGAGTCAATCCTGTGGATTCCCAACGGGTAAAGGAGGGCAAATCACTTTTCAGCTTTCCACGAATATGCAAAATGTTCTTGGCCCCAATCTCCTGATGATTTGTGTATTGTTTGAAACGCAACATAGCCTGGGGTTCTTCAACTATAACAACACAGTAAAAACATATCTGACTTTAAAATCCATCGTTAATTAAATTCTAATTTGTTTCGAATTGATAATAGCAATAGATCGAAAGTCAAACTTACACGTAAAGGTCATGCCCTGGATCATCAACTCTTCCAAGGACCTCATGTAGAACAGAGCTCCAAGAAACTCGTTACTGAATGGGGGAGCTTTGACCCCTTGAGATAAGGTGATCACGACACCCAAACTTCTGAGTTTCCGAAGGCGGCAGACCTCCAGAAACTCTTCATCGACAAAAGAGATATTACGTAAGGCCAAAACCTCCAATGATTTTGGAAGACCATCAAACTTTCTCACTCTGTTTTCCCACACGCCTAATGAAAAACAGAATTTAATAAGTAAACATGCATTTTATTCGATTAAGAGACAGTAATGAATAAATACGTACCCAACTTGGCCTTTAGAGACTTTGCGATGGTAATATGAAGTTCTTTTAGAGATTTGCAGTTTCGGAAAATATCCAGTCCGAAGCTACGTTGTCCAATGTCTCTATACTTAGGGGGAATAGCATAGTCCAACATGATCTTAACTGCCAATTTTGTCAGTGTAGTTTCGTTCATTTTGATAGAATAGGCGCAATGATCGTAGGGGATGTTGTGCATCAACTGCATTGTTTCCAGTTGATTTTGCTCCATGAAGAAACATCCCCACGCGAGGAAATCCACGTTATCTTCCAACACTGTAATATGACGGAAACGGGCATTCCTGGCGGTACGCTGAACGTCAACATAGGGTCTCAAAAAATCCAACTTTGGCTTCCCGGATCTGATATGTCTAGCCACCCTGCTCTTCACCCAAAGTTCTTGAAGGCTGGGATGTTTCTCCACAAATTTCAGGATCGCAATATGCATTTCTCGCGCTTCGTTTAACTTCAGGAAGGCAGAGACATCGATCTTCAACTTTACGATATTCATGCAGTAGCAAACTTCGAGGGACCACTGGACAGAGAGGTGTTGCAAACGTCCAGTTGGGCATAATTCCAAAAGCTTGCAGTGGTTCATAGGGTATGATCTCTTCCGAATCACATCCAGTTTTCGCCAGGACCTGTAGTCTGTAAGAGAATAAGAATAAAATCAAAACTACTAATTATCTATTCTATTGTGTGAACAAAATTAGGAGACAATTAACAAATTAACTACACAAGCAACAAACCTCTTTTTCGAAGATCATCCGTTGGAATCGGCTGTCGCTCACTGACTTCATGAGTCACTGAGATCTTTCGAACACCACGACATCGACCGAGGAAAGCGTCCATGTAGGGCATGCTTATCGGCCCTGCAAAGCAGAGATGTTGAGTATCATACGGGCGTTGAATCATGTCCATTGGTCTCAATAGGGGTTGACGGTAGGGTCCAACTACGATCGTGTCAACCAGTAGATCTCGCATACACGAAACCCCTGATATTTAAACAAATTTATCAATATCCAGTTTTCGAGGTTAACAACAACATAAATATAAATTGTATGCAATTCACTAACCCCAGTAACCTAGTTCATCGACCCTGGCTCCGATGCCAGCATAGATACGGATTTCATCTCGAATGCGGCGACACACCAGCTGCAACCCAGCTCGCTCCTTCGTTGTAATCATGTTGTAAATGCGGAGACGATCCTATTTAAATTAATAAAAAGAAACAAACATTTTACAAATACATATTTCATAACTATGAATGACCCACCCACTCCTTCTCAACTTATTATCCGTGATAGACATTAAAAAATATCTATGAAAGTATCAAAATTTTCTTACTTCAGTATTCAAGTCCATAAACTCCGTTGGTTTACTGGGATCTTGTTTCCCTGGGTCTCGCCACGAACCCTTCCTCAAGTGATTCCGTTTTGCAGTCTGGGCGACCGTGATTTTGGACGAAACCGTCGGTTTGGGTCCAGGTGCTGTCTCTGGTCGGAGTCCGCCTCGTCTCCGAAAGCCATGCACGAACAAGGGAGCCGCAGGGTGGGGAATTCGGTTTTTATTGAATTTCGCATTCGTTGAATTTGGGCTCGCAAAGTTCTTATTCCACTCGGCTCGATTTCGTTGAGCCATCTTTCTTTCGAATCAGGTCAAATCAGCGATACGCAGATTAAGTAGGTGGTAAATGTGAGAGGGGGAAAGTGTCAATTAAAAGTTTAGCCAATTTTTTAGGAAATATGGGAATTTACGAAGGAGGAAAAAAAGACGAGATGAAAAATCAACCACCACGGATGCTGGTTGAGCTCCAACTGAAGAGTTCAACTCCAGTCTCCAGCTCAAAGATGCTTCCTCGCTCGTTGGCAGATTTGGATTGGACAATCGCGAATTGTGGGCGTCGCCAGACGCACTTTCAAAATTATGCTGCATCATTGTCATGATTTATGAAATAAGATGCATGCATGCAAAATTATGACATGTTTTCATGAAATCATGAAATTATTATGCTTTTTTATTAAAAATTCAACATTTCACGAAATCAAGAATGCATGACTGACACATTTATTTTTTTTTGTAGTTAAACTGACACCCAATTTTATTCATTCTCTCCAAAGTAAAATATTTACATAATAATAACAGTGACGATAGATTCACACAAGTTAATGTTCATTTATTTCTCTACAATAATTTTTTTAATAGCACTCGCTTAATTATCAAGTGTGTTGTATTTATTTAGGCAATATAATATTAATAATAATAATATGCTAGAAATACTATGAGATTATCATTGATCGATAACAATGTGTACAACATTTTAAGTAATTTCACTTTTTTTATGTAGTTTTATACTGCAAACAGTACTAAAAACACATGTCACCACCACCGCCAAACCAACAATTCACACATTCAGAGTCAAGAAGATTTAATAAGTAAATATGTAGCTGATTAATTAATTAACTAACCATTAAGTATACGAGGGGTTTAAAATTTAAACTCTATTATTTTAAACAATCTAATAATTACATATTCCTCATAGCATCATCAGCATCACATTTTATGCAAGTTGGCAAATAATATATCATTTTTTTATGAATCACGCATTTCCTCACCATCAATATTTATCATCAATTAGTTTATATTACAAGGAGAGCATTTAGTTTTGCATGTATAATAATAATCATAATAATAATGGGTCCATGGATTACATTGATTAGATAGGATTTTTTCCGTCTTGCAACCACAACCTTTTGGTTTCAACATTTTTCTCATCTTGTTTGTTTACAAGTTGCGGAATGACTACTAATTTAGTTTTTTTGTCGATATACAACCGAACTAATTAAATGCTTGCAGTTCAACATGAACTTGTCAGAGCATTAAGTTTACAAATCTGCGATGGAAGATCGTCCAGGTGTCGACGAGAAATGTTCAGAAAAGGAGAAACAAATTCAAATCACTTTAGATAATTGAACAATATGTTGTTCTACTTGTGACGACTAGTTAGTTAGTTATGTAGTAGTAGTAGCAGTTAGTAGAACCATTACTTATTCAGTACAATTTATTATTTATGTAGCAAGCAATCATAATCTACTTCAATTTTCATCGATTTCGTCATAGTAAATATGCAAATACGCAAATACTACATACATTATTCGTAACTGTGTACAAGTACATACTTATTCTGTTGGTAAAGAAAAGGATGGAATTATTAAGAAGAGTGGATAAATTAATTTGGTAAAGTTTCCCTGCAACAGCAGTCGTGAAAAAGGGCGAGGACACTTTCAGAATGAAAATAGATGGGAAAAGTGATAATAATATTTACGCCGGGGCAGTATCCTCCCAATAACTTGGTGGTGAATCGTAATATCTTTTTTTTCCATACTCATCTGGTTTTAATGGATTTGATGTCGTAGAGATGTTAGGTTTGCAAGGGCTCAGTCCATTAAAACCCGATGTGTATTCCTACTTTTCCCTCTCGACGTGGATCTCCCCAGCAATAATAATCTATCTATCTCAAATTGACCAAGTTTTGCTGGGTGAAAGCAGTCAGTGAAAGTTGCTGCGACTGTTGCATGAGTGACTTGAAACCATTTGGGAAAGAGAGAGAGATGATGATGGAAACGTAAATGTTGGTCGTACATACACAGAATAAATAATATGTCAGTGAAGGAAGGAAGGACGAATCTAGAAACCATTTCATTAATTGTGTAGTAATGGAATATATGTATAGTACAGATATAAGTAGATGGATAATAATAATGCTACATTTGTTTGTTACACTCAGCCTCACTCGCCTAGAAGATAATGTATAATAGTCGAGAAGAAATGTAATTTAAGCCATCCTAACCCAAACTAATTAGAGCAGAAGAATAAGAAGAGTATAGATTCGCACGCATTCCTTCTTACCTTAATAATTCTACACTACTTGGTAACATTCTTTTTTCTTCTTGTATCCATATTGTAGGTAGTAGTTCAATAATAGTATGTATGTCGAGATCAATAAGTATAGATCTCGTAATCTCACAGGGTTTTCGTCGTCACATAGATTTCTCACCGGTATGTACGTGTCAGTAGTGCATTGTTGTTGAAGAATTGAAAAAAAACGCAACTGGTTGTGATAAGCAGAATGTACTTAACCGCGAAACATGACCATGAACCAAGTACCGTGGGAGTATATTTGTGGGAAACTACTGTTTCCCTACTATTCTATGAATGGGAGAGAAGAGGTGAAAGAAGAAAACGGAGGAGAGAATGGTGATCACGGAGCCACGAACTGAACTGGCAGTCATCAGTGAAAGTGCAAGAATTGTAGTTAGTAGTCCAGAGTTGTGAGTAGAATGGTGAGAACTAAAGGATAAAGTGATGGGAAATAGGAGGAGGTTGTGCAGGGGATTAAAGGCTGTCCTCTCATCTCACAAAGGGAAGGAGACTCCGAAGCACAATAAATGAGAAGCGCTACTTAATCCATCATTATCTCATGAAGACAAATTCCTGCAAATAACAGAAACACACAGACCTATAAGTTTTGATGGGTTGATAAATCACGCAATACGCAATTCAATTCCTACACTATACACAAAGCCGTTACACAACAATTGATGAACAACTTTCATCACGTCCTTTCTCATTCTCTCTCATGCTTAATTTCTTGTCCTACATATCCGAACACAAAGGGTGCAAGTCCGTCGCGTACATACCTCTGGTCTAGTTGATCCATCATTCTCGCATAAAGACAAATTCATTGTAATGATTCCATCTGAAAGTGAAGAAATGAGTAAACATTAGTCTTAATAGGTTGCACGATGAGGATTGTATAATGACTTTATTTATACCTCGACTCTTCAGGGTCCATGCCAGGCTTTAGCTCTGCCGATCCTCCGCTGGTGCCGGAGCCACAGGATGCCACGCACCTGCAACAAACAATATTTTAGCATCCATTCTTCAGAATCTTGCAGAGAGAGAGCTGGCCGGCTTGCCAACTGTAAAAACCTTTGATCTCTCTGCATACTACTTGTACATAAAGGGCTACTTTCTCGCATCGAAAGTTTCCAGTTACACAAGACACGGTCTGAACTACTGCTAGTTTTTGCCTATCCCGGATACAGCTCTGACATTCCGATGAAAGAGAAAGCAGGCCTCTTGTACCGCTCCTCCTGCTGCTACTCCATCAATCAATAATATTGCAAAAATATCGCTTATGAAACAATTCTGGTGGGATTTGACGACTTGAAATAGTTCCGCCGTGCTGCTGCTTCTGCTGAGATTTGATTTTTCTAAAAAGTTGTCTCTCTATAAAGTCACGGCCACTTTTTGTTGCAACACACCCATCCCAATCTCGTTGTCACCCGTCCCACTGACTGACTGACTGCAGCCTCAGAGCTTAGCAAAAGTTTGAGGATTTTCTAAAAAGTTGTGTGTCATCCTTGCTTTTGCGTGCAGCTTCTTGGGAGAGAAAGGGGAGAGAAAGTTTTGTGAAGAAGTGGCCACACCAGCACCACATCAATTGCCCTAATTGCGGATGAATAGAGTCAAAATCTTCTTCACTTACTTGAATCCAGCGTCTTGGAGATTGTCGAAAGCTTGTTCGAGGAAGAGATGCTTCAAAAAGAAGCGTCCGGTGTATCTGTCCATTGGGCCACGATCTGGGTCTCTACTCTCGTTCAGCGAGTCGCCAAACACCTGAAAAAATATATTGCTCACGTAATCTTTCTCCATCAACTTTTTATGCCTCCTCTTTCCGACATCACCAGTCCAATATCTCAAAGGCCACCGCAAACTAAGATGACATATTGGTTTTGAAAAGGCTCCACACACGGACACGGACACACACGTATATCCGACACAACGTATCCCCACATTTTTGTAATGTGCAGACAGACCAGGGCCATAATAAGGAGGAGGAAGGGAGGGGCAGCGCTTCGGGAAATGAGGATAATCTACAGCAGTAGCAAGTTGTGTCATAAATCTGAAGTGGCTCTTGCTTTCTCCCCCAACGAATCTAGCCATCGTCATCATCATCGTCCTATCAGTCTCACAGGGAGAAAGTACCACGTCGTTCACCCAGCTAAACTAAATGCTGCTGTACATATATCTATTATTATTATAGGCAAATGCCACCTCGTTTATGGACCACCCAGCAGTTCCATACTTTTATCGTCGGGTTTATAAATTGCGAGATTATTTGTTAACCATTGAACCAAAGAATAGCAATTATAGATAAATATGTTGTGTGTACAGAGAACATCAAAAGAGCGACGACGGCTTATAGTGGATTACGCAAAAATATAATAACTTTATGTATGCCTCACTATGGCCTATATTATCGCACCGACTACATTCCCCACAATGTGCGCGTTTACAAAATACAAGGTTTATTTCATAAGCCGGGCTCAATAATAATAATATCCATACAAATCAGACTTATATTTGGCCATTTTGTTGACGAGAAAAGTCCACAGTAGGAGAGATGAAAGGAGCCCTGGTTTTTAATATCTTAATGCCTGAATGCCCAAAAGTAGCAGTAGCAGCAACATCGCTCCTTTATTGATCAGAAGGCTTAATAGGAATCGTGAAGGAGATCGAGCTCTGTGAAAGTTTTCCTTTTCGAAGAAGGTATCATTTCATGCACGGCAGTTTTCTTTCTCTGAAACCCAACGTTATTTAATTTCAGATAATCTTCTCGTGACTATTTCTTTACTAATGGGAGATTCGGCAGTGGAGCAGAGAAAACGCGGATCATTTCTGAAAGACTTTCCTCATTTCGATCGACGAGTGAATGACTACGAGTGCCTACATATATCCCATCCAGCAGCGGAATATAGAAATAAATAAATGGAAATAAAGGCAGAAAGTGTTAGATAAAAGAGAGCAGAAAGTTATTATTATTGTCAGTTCCTCAATGACATATTTCATGAAAGGGACCACGGGAGAAAAAGAGAGCCAACTTTTTTTTATGCCATCCTCCCAACAACAACATCGTGACCTGAGCAGACGCTCTTATTGTATAAAATAACCACTTCACTTTATCGTTGGCTCGAGCTCTTTCTATTTATTTGATTGTGTTTGTTCATCGTTTAGGAAATAGTATCAATTATTTACAAATGCAACTATTACAAAATCAAACAAGTCATTCTTACGCATTGCTGAGAAACAGAAATAAAAAAGACAACAATTTTCACTCCTGATTTATAGCACTACATATGTATAGCAAAAAATAAGACAGATATCGACGTCGTCGGTAGGAAATTTATCGGTGTAACTGACAAGTGAGGAAATTAAAACAAGTATAAATCATCGTTATGTGTACGTATGTAGTACATATCGCTGTCTTGTTTGTCCGCTTAAAAAATACATTGCCCACAAACTGAACACCAAACACCACTAAAATTACAAATTATAAATTTAATTCTATTTTTATTCTGGGTAAACAGTCGCGAAAAAATGAAATGGAATGACGTACATATGTATCGTACATTCATTCGCCCAGTTTAAAGAAATCCATAAAATGGTTATCTATTGAAGTCATTCGAACTTTGGTCATAACCGTTCACTCATGTCGTAAAAAGTGCTGTTAAAAAAGTCCAAAATGACAGTCCCGAACCGAAATAGCGAGCAAATTGTGTCATAACCCATCTATTGTTGCAGACATGAATACCAACAAGACTGCTGTCGGTCGAGCTAATAATTGTTGATGACAAGAATCCCACACAGTTTTATGCTGTGCTCCTCGCTTTTGTAAATGTACAGCGAAAGTTGGGCTGACAGGAGGAGAAGAGAGGATAGAAAACCTGTATATTCCGGAGGAGGAGAGAGAAAGTGAAGGAATTGCGGTTCACATGCACAAAACTATGTATGAAACTATGTATTTTGTAGGCATAGCAGATAGCCGACTGAAACAGCAGCATTTCGAGTACACAACGAATTGATTTTCAAAGAACAATTGGAATAAGTGGACTGAGGAGATTGCACATTTCAACAACATTTCAATATTGGCAACTTTCCTCCCTCCTCCTTGTTATGTTTACCAACCACCATTTGCAATACCACGGGAAGTGAACTGGATTCCTGTCAACTGACATTTTCATCATCTTGAATCCAACCACAAGCGGCTCTAGTGTCTCTGCGCCCGTCCCTTCATTTGAAAACCAAAATACCAGCGATCAATATTCGGTTCAATCAAAACCCCCCTGTGCACAGAAATTTCTGCCGGCGTAGAGCTTGTATTTATTACGTAGCCGAATGTAAGTAATCAAATCATTCCTCCAAATCCACAACTTAATAACAAATGATTAAATTGATCAGGTAAGAAGAAGAGAGTTCATTTTCATTATTGGAAGTTATTCACACACGCATATATCTTGTTATACGAAACCATTGTTGTACTGTCGGCGGTGGGATACATAATGGATGGTGACATGCAGTAGTTTTGTGCCCCGTCTCGGGAACTGCATCACAATGGGATGTCAAAAACTAGTAAAGCGACGACGAGGAGGTACTAAATAAGAGGTCGATCGACCTGCACACGCCAGGCGTCGTCATCGTCCCCCTATGTCGCCGCTGCTGATCTACATGCAGACCGACTTTTGTAATGTCTCGCGCAATTCAATAAAGACGCTGGAAACCGCTCGACGAAGCTTTTGATAATATGCCAACAAGCATTCTTATTGTGTCCGATGAATGTCAACGAGTTGGGTTCAAGTTGGCAAGTCGGAATTAGTTTGACCCCAGTTCTATTGACTCTTCAACTTAAAGTCTGCAACTTTTCCCCCCCGCAACCTCAGCTATTTGAGTTAAAAAAACTTTTTGTCATTATGATCCATCCAGACGGAGCACAATCAGCTCCATTCTTGACGTGACACATATTCAGTTGCAGAAAAAAAAGTGGGAGGCAGTGAAAGATTTAATTTTATGAGACTGCTCATCAATTTTGACACTGAGGAAGAAAGTTGGTCGTGGAGAGAAAGTGACATAAAACAGGGAATTCAATATGTAGAGTGTTTGCGTCATATGCTAACTACATAAATCCCGTTACGTGATTAAAATTAACCCTGGAAAACGGCTAGACAACTTCCGCTTAATAAGGTTACAATTGCAAGGCCACTCAATCTTATTGGAGAATCTATGTACACAACTGTATGTCGAATACCCTGTTTACTTATGTACATACATATGTAGCTCCTCTGTGTAAGGAACGAATTTCAGTCTAGTCTACTTTTCTGCCATTTGGTATACACATAAATAGGACGAATAATTTTCCAACTGTCAGATTTCTGGCAAACAACGGATTCATTTGCAACGTGGCTATAAATATGGCTAATGAAACTTGTAATAAACTGAACGGAGGATGAATTGCAACCGGAACAGTAGAAGACCACAAGATTTGCTCAAGTGTCGCAACAGACGGAACCCGAACTCTAAACTCTTCTTCTCTTTTTGGCTCTCTCCTCTTGACGAGAGAGAGAGGATTTTACTTGCGAAACCATCGCGGTGCGAATAATTTGGAGAGCATGGTGGTTGTGAAAGAGGACGCGAATTTTGTCAATGTAGTAAATCATTTCCTTTCCAACAACACGAGTCGACCACGAGCTGTGTACTGCCGGTGCTGTGCGACTGAGGCTGTAGTTGTACTTTCACCGCATTACTTTTTCAGAAAGATGGTGAATAATGTGACCGAAATTCCCAGGGATGTCAAAAATTCAGAGTTTATCGTGCCCAGGGAAGTTAGCCAGGTCCTGGCCCTTTCGCTCCCTCTGTCTCTGCCTCGCTCTCGTTATTTACAACAGCGTCAGAGAGAGAGTGGCTGAAGAATATTATGCAAATTGACAGGAGAAAATGTGCTGTCCAATGGAAGGGATCAATAATTCAGTGCCACTGCGGTTATAGCAATTTCATCCGTCATTAGTCAAGGTGTCCCTGAAATATGTTTTCAGCGTGTGGAACTCCTACTCCTGTTCTATGAATAGACGACAGTTATTGAGAAAAGTTAAGAATGTGAGGGTCTCAATTTTTCCTCAAAGATAGCTTCCCATCCAAACCTGAGATTTAATATTTCTCCAAGAAAATATGCCACCACGCGGATTTACGATGACACACATACTTCAAATATCAATTGAAAATCGGACGCATTGTCAATCTGGAAAGAGATACGGCTACCAGTACCAACACTTGTTGTTGCATAATGCACCAGCACTTTCTAATGGTGTGCAGCGCAGGGGTGATATTGCATGCATACCCACTTATAAATATTCCTCTGTCGATACTTTGTGTGCATTGTGTGCATTGTCATTCACTGAAATTTGCCAAGCGCAAAGTTCACAAGACAGTTATTCAGTCAGGATAGAAGCACGTTCAGAACTAAAAATATATACATTTTTCGTGCTTGGGAGCCCCAAAGGATTTGATGCAATTCTTAACAATGGGCTGGTTTTCGGTACAAGAGCGACAAATTGCTCGGGGCTCTATTTCTGTTCTGCTGCCTCCTTTGCCTATGTCTGTACCTGTCAACAGCTCATTTCCCACGTAGCGCCAGGACGGGAACACAATTAAAGATTACCACACCCCGGTCAGACTAGGCACAAGTTTACATAACGCTGCGGGGATGTTGCTATCTCCTAAAAACCAACAAAACCCGTTACGAACTCCAGTTGTGCCTCCGATGTATGTGAGCTGCCTAAATATTGGATTGTGTAACTTAATCTATTCCACACCCTGCATTGGTGGTTAAGAAGTAGGCATGCTACTTGTGTCACGGGTGGCTAAACTGTCCCTAAACCCTTTGATGGCTTAAATCGCTTATGTACGTATCTCGTTTGCGAATTTTTCTCTATTTGCACATTGTTCAAGGGTACACAACGTGAGCCGTGTTGGTGTTGTACTGTAGTCTAGTCTGGGAGAGGTAGAAAGAGAGAGAATGAGTACAAATTTAGTCCCAAGATGAACGACACAGCAGTCAAGATTCATTCACCAAGTTTTGTACTCTGCTCATGAGGGGATCTTTTTGTGTGTTAAGCACCGATGTGATTCATATCAGTCTCAAACTGTGCCAAATTTACTGCAATTAAAACTTGACCATACAACATTATCCGTAAATTAAGTTTGAAGAATGTTACAAAAAGGAAAAGACAAAGAAAGTTGCAAAAATAGGAGATTTTTAATACATTACAGATCCAACCCTCCTCATTTGTGCACTTTACAAATCCGGCATAACATCGTTATTTTGTTGTTCGGAATCCTCAAATAGGATTTCAATAATCTCATAAAGATTTATCAAAAATAGAGCTTTCCTACAAAAAATCGAACAGGATTTGGGAAATACACAAATAAGAAGGGTTGAAACTGTATATGTTTCACATACTAAAAGTTTTTATGCATATTTTGCTTTTTGCTTTCTTTAAACTCAATCTGCAGATAATGTTCTATGGTATAGTTTTTCACTAGCAATAAACTTGGCACAGTTTGAAACTAACATGAAGCAAATCGGTCCTTGGCACCCGAAAAGGTTCCTTTGTCACCGTGGAAAGTGAAAGTAGAAAAAATGGGACTGTAGGTGGCAGAGGAGGTATATTAACGACTCAAGAATTTGGTTGTATTCCTGTTCGTCCTATGAAGTCGTTTCTCTTCATATAAAAACAGTCCGTTCTGCCAAGAGTTACTTTTCGTTGTTTGCCATAGAATTGCGTTTTGACATGTTGACATTTATTGCACCAAGTGAAAACGTAGGAAAACATGTGAGATTACATCTAATCCATCTTTTCTTAGAATTCCAACACACTACACCCACTCCCGCTGGCCACCACCGCCGCCTCGTCCACTAACACAATGCAACATCTCCACAAGGAGAGAAGAGCAGGATGAAAAACAACTACGGGTGAAAGCCAACAGGAGTTTTTCACCAAGATTACCAGAAAATCCCACTTTCTTCACCTCTAAATCAAAGCGACTAAATGGCTGGTGGCAGTCGTATCGATGTGTGTGCTCTTCTGCTTCAGGTAACGGGCTGCTTATTGTGTGGGAATGCTGTTGGTTTGGAAAGTCGCACAATTTTCATGTGTAAGTCAAAGGGCCAACTCACAAGAGGATAATCCCTCCCGACACGCCTTTAGCTACTGACCCAAACGCATTTCCTTGGAGTTGGGAAGAATTCATAGTTGGGAGTAAATAGGCTTAAAACTATTGACGTTTACATAACAAAGTCCACATAGCGTGTGAAATCTCATGAAAATAATCCACATTAAGAAGGAGAAACTTTGCAGAGTCGGGAAGGAGAAAAAGCATATTTTATGCGGGGCACAAGGGAGATGGGCGCAGTGGTGGTTTGGTTTCAATGAAAAAATCCGATGCTAAATCTTTCAGGACGACGACTAACATGCTCAACCCACCCACCCACCACCCTCCCCTCCGTACATGCTTCACCCACCGACTGTCTCAGAATAAGGGGGAAAATAAAGAGGTTTCTTATCCAAAAGTGGATAAAAATCCGCGAGAAATCGAGTAGAACTAAGTGATCCGGGAAAGTAAGAACACATAAATCACTCATTTGTTCTATCGATAAACCATAAAACCTGAGCAGATGGAAACACAGCAGTGCGATTATGTTGCTGAAATGACTGACACCTTTTATTCATTGCTGGTTTAACCATTAAGATCCAAATTAATCTAGTCCCTTTGAAGTGCTACAAAATAAACGGCTTGCTCCGCACAGTTTTCGTCCCAACAAACAATATCTTCTTCTTCTCGTACAGAATTTCTCCCATTACTTTCTCACACTAACTCGGGTCCCGGTCGTCCTTCTCGCCGTCTTAGCAGCAGACTTAGCAGGAGACTTAGCAGTGCTGCTGCTGGTGGTAGGGCTACACGGACGGATGGTTTCTCAACTCAACAGCAAAATCTCTCCGCAAACAAAGCACTTTCTCCACTCCTCTGGCCCTGCCTGGTTAGAATGGGTCCTCAACTAATAACTCTCCATTCTCCCTGCCACCACCAGATAGCTAGTAGCACCGACTTTCTCTCTCCCACCACATCACATCTGATCATTCCGCATTCAACTTCCATTACGTAAATGTTCCTTCCCTCGAAAATGGATGCCATAAGAGTACTGATTTTTTTTCCACGTGGTCTCTTGAAATCGATCCCTCGATCCCAAATCTCCGCATTCTATAACGTTATACTGTCTACATGCACCATGAAAAAGTCGAGATGATGGGGTGATGGCACATTACTCGATGGTTTTTACATATCTTTGAATATTTTGATAACCAATTTTACTTATCGCTAAGAAAATGCGCTTTAAAAAAAGGAAATTTGTTGCACTCACCTCTCGACAAAGAGCTACCCGTCCACACACTGTGATTCTGGCTAAGGAATAGAAAAATTGCATCTGATTAGCATCTCATCAGAGGGGAATGGATGCACTCATTTTGTGAATTATAAATAAAGTGGTTGGTTGTCTTACCCAACTTGCGGAATTTGACGTCCGACAATCCATCCCTCCCGAAGGCGAAGGTGCCTCTGTAGCCGACGGTGATGTAACCCGCTTGTCTCGACTCGGCTGGTGACACATAAAGAAAAGGTGTCTTCAATTCAACTCAAGTGCACAATTACCGTCAAGTAACATACGTTTCATTGTCTATTTGTTCAGCTCGTCTCATTGTCTCGTGTACTAAAACCGTCCACTGACGACACAGTGTGGCCCCAACACGTAATTTGTGTGTATCTCGGATCGCCTTGGATGGAGCTAAGAGATCAGATCGATTGATCGACCTAAATAATATGGATTGCAAGTCGGTGCGACAATGGAACATAATACACGCTTATATAAGCAATATGCATTATGAAGTTTGGGTATATGGATAAGATGAATGCATGCTATGTTAAGTATGATGAAGTAAAAATATGTGGCACAGTAGTTCAAAGCAGTTTGTTAATATACAAAAAATACCGCCTTTGTAGAATTATTTTTTTTCTAAAAAAATTTTGCTGGGATTAACAACGTTTCACCTGAAGGAGCAGCATGATCCTATAAATGGCTTTGATGAGTGAACTTTTCATCATAATGGAATTCACCATTTCCTCTGCAAATGAAATTTCAACTTTATCTGGAAACAACAAGCTGCAGAAAGAAATGGCTTTGAAGAGAGAACAAAGTTAATTCGAGTGAGATGGTATTCGTCCCTGTAACTCATAAAGTTGAGCCCCAAGAAAGTGCTGCAAGAATGAAATGCTCGACTTTGGGCAGATGAATGGCAAATTACTTGAGGGAAATATTCACTCAACTAAACTTGGGAGTAATGCAGGCAGTGCAGGGAGGCAGACATTTTGCAGGTATCCAACTCTCAAGATCTCCCCCTCCTCCCTCCCCCCAAAAACTTTTCGAGGAGGTGAGTGAGCCACTTTTCTTTTTGCGGGTGAGATGATGAAATGATGCCCTGGTTCACCTTTGAGCCACCCAAATTTGACTACTAAAGTTCAGACGGACAAACCATAACCGGCCGAAAAGTCCAATCCATCTCGCCCAGGATCAACTTGTAACTCTGTAAAACTTTATCGGCATCCGGTCCACCTGTTCCGATGGTCAAACTATCCTTCTTATTTTTCCTCGTATTTTCCTACTCTCCCAAGTTTTGAGATGAGAAAGAGAGAAAGTTGGACTCTGAGGAACTATTAACTTGGCCAAGGATGAAATTGCGGCAAAATAGCTTCATATCACATAAAAATTCACCCACATCATCTTTCCCAGCTCCTCCTCATGTTTCATAGGCCTCCTAATTCATCATTTTGTCGCAAGTAAGTACACTTTAGTTTTGTGCTAAGAGGTAAGAGCATCCTTATTTATGGTGACGTTTATTACTACCCGGCCCAGATTAATTGTTCTCTGTTCTCATAAATTATAAACAACAACTCGGGCGAAAAAGTTCAATGTTTAAAACTGATGCTTAAAAGTAATTATCTAGATAAATAGATGTCTAGCTGCATTTGAAAACCGCAACTTTTTGTACCCTACCGTACTCTTACTACTACCACAATTGCTAATAATGCTAGTTTCCTTACTGTCAAGGGATCGTAAAAGTCCTTCCAACTGGAAATATTCAGCCTCCGCCTTGAGACGAGATTTTTCATGAAAATTCTCCGGCAGAACGATATTTTGATTGCGTAGATAATCCAGCACGTAACGAAAGAGGACGCCATCCCGGTCGATGAAAATTTTTCCCTTCGAGTCCTTTGGAATTGAGTCGACACCTGAAATTTCAAGGAAAAAAGTATGTATAAAGCAATCAGCACGAGCATAATCATTATTTGTTAGGCAGGCTATAGAAATGTGGTGCTATTCTACACCCGTCCGGAGCAGATCTCGAAATTACAGTGTGTGATTGTGGCGTCTGTTTGAGAAAGCATTTCGGTGGTAACGTCCAGCTGAGCCATTCACTCGCTGTATTTTATTGCACATAGTGAGCAAGTATTGATTTTGGGAAGATACAAAATGTACCTCTGACAGAGAACGACGACGGGCTTTGCTGGTGGTTCAACTTGAACTGTATATAGTTCACTCACTCCTAGATTTTTATTTTCCCGAGACCTCTCTCTCTTCGTCTGTACCTTCTACAGGAAGCGGCAGCAGGCTTCGGGCAGAATTTTGAATTGGCAAGAAGGGAAAACCCTAACTCTCTCGGAATCAAGTGGTCGACATGTTGGGGTCCAACACGCCCCACGGAAGAAAGCTTTTCTAAATTAAGATTAGTATCCCTCTAAAAATAAGTAGCTTCATGATCTTCACAAAAACTTGAAACAAACTTTTCTCTCAAAGGATGTGCAATCAATGAAACGCAGTGATTGATCACGGAGTCCCAACTCTTCTAATGTCTTGCTTGTTAGAGACTGATTAAAGAAATAGTTTAATTGATAAGGACAGCAAGCAAATAATTAACTTTTAAGGTCTATTTTTCACAGAAATCTTGCACATTCCTGGGAAACAAGTCAGCATCTTGGCAAAACTACTTTCACAGCTCCCGAAATGTACATTCAAAATGTTTCGAGATCACAGGTTGTCCATGCAAAATTCATTTCTTTCCTGTACGTTCTCCTTCTCAAGTTTTACGGCTGGCACTCAACTCACGTAGTCGGGAGAATGGAGGTGGTGCAGAAATTAGCATTTCTTAGAAGAAATGTATGCTTTGCTTTTTCAAAGGTGAACAACCATTGCTTGCTACATAGTCCATAGGTTTCTGCTGCTGTTGCGATTCCAAAAATATCTTGCGACTCTATTCAACCTAACCACCTGAAGAGACCCTGCTGCTTACGGTACAAAAAAAAAGAATCAGAAACGGCTTTGAACCACCTCGTCGAGATTTTTTCCCCAGTCCTTAAGGTATTCGAACCAAAAAATGTGTTTTATGGTGGCCAATTTCTTAACCTTTTTCTCTCCCTCGTTAAATTCTAATCATGTTTATTACGTCACGAGCTCCTCTGGTGGTGCCACGATGAGATAAGCTTGAGTTGGTCTAATAAAAGCGCGCTTGGGTGTCATAGGTCATAATGTCGTCATTACATAATATAAAATCACGCTACGAACATTAAAATTTTATGAATGCCCAACACCTTTAAATTAATTAGTTTTCTCCGTCTTGATTTATGGAGACATTTGGAGCTAAAACTCCTCTCCTGCCTCGTAACTTTTTTTCACAAAACCACGCTACCTCAAACATACATATTCTCCATCAGTGGTTGGTAAAGTTGTAAATCAGAGAAGCTTACAAATAATTAGAATTTTGTTCAACCGATTAATTCTTCCACTGCTGGTAGAAATGAAGGTAAAGAAGGAAAACCTTGAGATTTTATGCTCCGTTCGAAACCATTAATTGTGAATGCTGGTACATACTTGTGTGAAGAACTTGACCTAATTTTGTGGCTGGTAATAACGCAGTGCATGGAAAAGAAGTATGCATATTATGTAAGTATATGTACAACAATACACTTTCACTGAGACACTTGCGTTACAAAATGTAAAATACAATCTACAAAAAATACATTTCCTCCGTTTTACCAAGTTTGTTTAGCGAAGGTGCAATATGCTCGCATTAACGTCGACAATTTTGAACACCGGTAAGAAAGGAGAGCAACGTCGAGCAAATGACAAAGCAAATCCCTGCTCCACACTCATGTAACTTTTCATTTGATTCGTGTGTTATGTTTTTCATGATGTTATGTACAAAATCACGAGAGAATGGAAATGAGAGAGAGAAAGCTTATGCATTCGAGTTAGAGTTTGTCCATAGTTTGTTCGTTTTGCAGTTGGTGGTCGGTCGGTCGGTGGGTCGGTTGTTGCTTACATTACTCTGAATGCATGGGAAAGTATTCTGCTGCCAGAGTACTGACGCTGGTTGAGTGAAGCAGGAGAAAGTTCATTTCTGTGGTTAAATAATCAATCTGCTCCACCACCTGGGATTGTCAACCTCCTTGCAACAATCCCTCCTCTCATTAATGCCTTAATTAAAAATTGAGTGTTTTGGCGTGTACTCATCCACCAGCTAAAATTACAACATACAATTTTCCACTCGGGGAGAAAATCACCTTACACAATAAATGCAACCATTTGCTAAAATTAGACACGCTTAATAACTGGGAGAGAAAGTGGTGGTTTAAGCGGAATTGCTGGTACGGAATTGCTGGTGGGATATGTATGTATGTAAAATAATGGGATACATGGTTTATGGTTCGTTTGTAGAGTGGTCGTCGCCATTAATTATAATTTCTCAAGCCACCTTTAACAATCTATGGAGAGAGATAAAAGTTTGGTGTAATCAATAGGAAAGTCTATATTCGTGCACTGTCTGAGGCAGCATAAATATTGTGTGCCCTTAATATAACGACCTCATCAAAAGAGAGGCGTCAATCTCAAAACTTTTCAGACGAGAACAAACCAAACCTTTGTGACGAAGCTTGTAATTATAACTTTCGCAGTGTTTGCTTTCTTCTCAAAATATTAAAGTATCAGAATATGTACTGCTCCTCGGCTTCATAATAATACTGCCTGCGTTTGATGTGATGCTGCTTCTGCTGCTGCTGGTAGCTATTGATACAGTCGATTTAGTTTCCGCTCCATTCCACCTCCGCCAGCCGACTACGTAGCACCTTCATCTCCAAATGAAAGCATAGTCTAATGAAATGTACGTGTTTGTTGAGAGAATCAGCTCCATGCCTCTAAATAATTCGGGTTAGAGGCTGGCTCAACTATGCGGTAAACCCGACCAATCATCCCTCGCGTTCAACAAATGTTCTAAATTTAATCTCAATTTGAACCAAACCAATCATCCAGAAATTGCACAGACGGGTCTAGAAAGCGGAGAAAAATAAGTAATAAAAATGACTAGTGTTTGCCCGTGGAACCAATTACGGAATGTGGTGAAAGTGAAAACACGGCTGTATGCAACTATTTCTGTCAACCGAGGCAATTTTGCTATATCTTTGATCTTTTCGACAGTGTCAAAATTTGTGTGGGGAAATGGAATGGACTTCAAATTGATTTGTCTTTAGTAGAAATAGAAAATTGTGAAAATTGCAAGGTATGCGTACATACGTCATGAGAACGTTGTGATTGATGTTGCTCCCACACAAAGTTGGTCGTCGTCACTTATTGAGACGAAATCTGGAGTTAACAACGTGTAGCATATTTAGTTGCGCATTGAGTGAAAACAATGGCTGATCATTAATTTATACATTGTTCTTGTGAAACGTATCCCGGATATGAGTGAAGCAGTATTGAGATCGATAAATAAAATATCTTGGTGGAGCAGGAATCAAGTGGTGCATGGAAAAAAGGATGCGTATTTTTCATACTTTTATTCCGTCGGGAATAGAAGTTGAGTGTTGAAGGAATGGAATTATAAAGGAAGTCTCGCGTAGACTAAATTCAGAATTTAATGGTGAAACGTCATCCTAACGCTTGTAAATCGTTGATTTTTAATGTGTAGCAAATATTTAGCGTAAAATGTAGTTTGATAATCTAAATATCCAGAATGGAATAAAATATTATTTTTTTGACAAAAATGGTGAAGGAACAAATTATTGAAATTACATAAAAATTCTACAACGTAAATTCATTCCATGAAAAGGATAAACTCTTTGAAAACTTCAACTCATGTTTAACCAGCGAAGTTTATACTAGCAAATTTACTACCCAATATTTGAATAGGAGGCAATATGAGAATTTCCGAATGAATGAAAGTCTAAGAAAAACCTTTCATTGCATGTTTATGATGGGAGCATAAACAAAAGAACAGAAAATCTTATTTCTGCCAGTTTTACTCGTCTTGATCCAAAGTCAAAATCCCTCCCTTGAAGTTTTCTAAGGAAATGTCACATTGAAATTGTACTATTTTTATTAGTTGGACTATTGATATGAACAAGAGCAGAATGTTGATTCAACAAGAACTTCCTGACTATTTTTACTCCATGTGAATATATCGTTCAACTACCCAACGTAGTCATGATGCTTCCTTTACACCCCCCAATCCGCTGAATGGTCCAGCGTATTTACTAGGACTGTAGAATCCCACTCTGAGACAGAGGATTTACTTAATAGCCTGCCAAATTCATTTCCTCTTCCCCGACCAACTTTCTCCTCCTCTCTGACTTTCATCCACCACAAAAACTCGGTGCTGCTGAGGTTGTCTGGATATTTCGGTAAAAGTTAACTCCATATAGTTGTCGGCTTTGGGCATAAAATAATACCTACGAAGGCGGATGAAAGACTTTCCCCCTGAAATCAGAGATCCATATTAACAGGGAGAGCAAAGCTTGACAATTATTTATTACGAATTATGGGGTTAGGACGAGTAACGACAGATTGGTCTTGATCCCAAAATTATTTAGTAAATACTTAATCGTCCTTTGACACCTTAACAAATACAATTTGTTCGCCAGGATTTATTATTTTTACCCCTCGCATGACACGACACTGCTACAAATCATAATTATCTATCTGTATGTGAAAATGCGTACTTGTGGATCTATAGATTTACCGAATCTCCCTGTGCAGTCTAACCTTTTAGGCTTTGCATATATCCAACATGGAGAATATTTCGTCGTGGATTTATATTTATCCCCGAACCGATCTGACAAGACATCCATGGGAAAGGAGTTTCTCTGCAGTTAACCGAAAAGGGAAAACACAAGGAGGAAGCTTCCAGAGCCCTCACATGAAGTGAACCCAATATACATCGCAGACAGACGAAGGAACGTTG